TAATATTATAAATTATTTTGGTAATAAATATATATAAATCAAACAATTTTGCTCAATATATAGATTCAATTTATATTAATCGCTAGAAAAAAAATTTCTATTCACATCACGCCGGACAAATTATTAACGTACGTATACAACGGTTGTCCGACCGCAGCGTAGCGCGGATATCTAACTAGTAAAAAAAACTAAAAGATATGAAAGTGGGACTATTCACTTACCGTAGCTCCTCACACAATATCCATATTCATACATTTCTTTGTTGCTTTTTGGTCCCTTTTTCTTTAAGAAATAAATTAATTAGTCTATTTGGTTTGAAAAATAATTTTTTTTATCCTTTTTACCATTTTACCATTTTTATTTTTCGTTTTAAGAAATAGAAAAAACAAAAAAATAATTATTTGAGAAATAAATCAATTAGTCCCTTTGGTTTGAAAACTAATTTTTTTATCCTTTTTACTATTTTTATTTTTTTGTTTTAAGAAATAGGAAAAAAATAAGTAAAATATGAAAAAAGACATTTTACTTTTTTGAAAAAAATTATCTCATCCAATCAAAAGTATCTTAGTATTGTATAAAGAAACCATGAAATCCCATGTTGGGTTATTTTAGTGATCCTTATTCGTTCTCAAGTAATTATATGGATTAATGTAAGTGAAAGAAGAAAGAAGGAAAATAAAAATATATGCAGCAAAGGAGGTAGATATGGTTTTTGAGATAAAGAATTGGAAACAGAGAAGTGCAAATAAATTTTAATGATTCACAAAAGTAGTAACTAGAGAGCTCATTTCTTTTTACTTTTTAGGACCGCCATGTAGAATTAAGAAAATGATAAATTGGAAGATTAAAAAAAAAACAATCTTAGAAAAAAAACAAACAAATAAAATATGAAAAAAGGCATTTTATAAAATAAAAAAATAAATTATTCGTGATCAATACTGATTAAAAAATTAAAAAATTATTTTTGAAACAAAAAAAAATAGTTAATTCATTTCTCAAAATTAGATGAACTAATTTATCATTTAATTTTCAATTCAACAATCTCTTTCATCATAAATTAAGAATTCATGAAAACCAATTTTGTAATATTTTTTATTTCAATTTATTAATTTTAATATATTCCATACAGACTTAAATGTTTCTTTTTAAAAAAAAATTGTTTATGCTATATTTTAAATCTACTAAATATGATATATATATATATATATATATATATATATATATATATTAAAAATTAATTATATATTTTCATAATAACATCAATTATTTATTATTTATTCCTTTTTATGTTCTAAAATTAATATTTTTTTAAATAAAATAATTGAAATGATATTTTAGAGGAACCTTTCAATTATTCAAATACAATTTTTTATATTAATATTATTGATTATTTTGTTAATAAATATATATAAATCAAATAATTTTGCTCAGCAAATAGATTTGATTTATATTAATTACAAGAAATAAGATTTGTATTCGTACTATATCAAATGAATCATTGACTTTATGTATATAAAGGTTATTTAACCGCAACGTAGTACGGTTATCCAACTAGTTATAAACTAATTCTTCCGGTTTTTTGAAATGAATTCAATAGTTTCAAAAATTAATTAATTCATCTATATATTTTTAAGAGTTAATTATATTTTTAATGTACAAAGTTCTTAATTTTTTCTTTTTGATTTTGTCAATTTTAATCTTTATTATTCAAGTATATCAAGTCATTTTTTTTTTTTTAATTTGAGTGATTCTCGTTAGCTTTATGTTGATATGGTCCTTGGCTGCATATATGACATCAAATTATAAGTTCCACTATGAGACACATACAAAAAATATATATATATTATTATATTTTTGGTGTACAAACTTGTTTTTTTTTTTTTTTTGATTATGTAAATTTGAATCTTATTATTTGAGTGTATCAATTTATAATTTTTTTTTATTTGAGTGGTTTTGTTAACTCTAGGTCGATGTGTCCATTAATTGCATACATAAAAAAACAGTTATGTGGACTCATTGCCATATACTTGAAAACTACTTTTCATCTTCAAAATTTATCCAAGCATCAAATTAAATACTAAATTCTTTACATAACATATATTTGGCCAATTTATGTTTCAAAATAAAATGGCGGGTTGACGACAATGAACTTTGGAATAGATAGAAATCGTTTGTGGCAATGGTTGGATGTCGATGGTTGTTGGAGCAATAGTCGTTCGTTGGAAACTCGCTAGCTCGATTATGCCTTCTTTCTTTTCTTTTTCTTCTATGTACCCTCTAGCATCAATAATTGTAGTTTGCCGATTTGTCTTGATTATTTTTTTAAAAAATAGTTTTGTAATAATTGCCGATTCTAATAAGTGATAATGGATTTTGATGCTAGTGGTAGCAATGAGTTTTTCCGATAGCGATGGACATGGGTTTACTATTGGATGGCTATTGTTATTAGTGGTGCATACCTATTAGGTTCACTTGCAAATAATGAGATAAAGAACAGTGATTTGGCGTTCTTTTTTAAAGACAATGGTGTGAAATTTTGAATATTGGCCACTAATCTTAGAGTGAATGGTGTTTGTTTGAAAGATGACCAGGTGAAATTGAATTTCAATTTAGATCGAAGGGTCACCTCAATCTAAGTCTGGATAAGATAGATTGATAAAAGAAGTTTCTTATTTAATTTTATATATTTATTGCTTGTAGTAATGTTTTTCTTTTATAAAAAACATTTGCTAAATAACTTTTTTTAATTTTAATAAGTTTCTAGTTGTTATGTGTCCGACAATAAGATCTACATGATCGTGCAACATGTGTAGTTAACAAACACATTAGTCTAGAATTAACAAAACTACTCAAATAAAAAAAAATTAAAAGTTGATACACTTAAATAGCAAGAATAAATTTACACATTTAAATAGAAAAAAATGACAAGTTTGTACACCAAATATGTAATGATTTTTTTTTTCTAATTGCAATGTGTCCGATGGTGAGACCCCACATATTGATGCCACATGTGTAGTTAACGACTATCAGCATAAAGTTAATGAAATTTAACAAAACCACTCACATTATAAGAAAACTAAAAAATAGCGACGGACTTTTTTGTCGCTATTTGTCCTTAGTGACGGATTTGCGACAACGCACTTTCTATGGCAAAAGTCATCGTCTCTATTTTCTTAGTGATGAAAAATTTCTTTCATCATTGATTAGCAATGGGTAATTGATCGTTATGTGTAAAAATTCCATCGCTATAGCATACTAAATAGCCTTCTCCCCAGTCTCGTATTTGTCGCAAAATTGTCACTAATTCACTATTTCTATCGCTAAATAGTGACAAAATTTTTGTCACTAAATTATTCTAGCTAAAGTTATACAAAATTATAAATCAAATTAAATTTAAAATTAACCTAACAATTGTGAAAATAACTATCTTTTAAGGAACAAGAGAGAGAGAGAGAGAGATAAAGAGAAAGAGCTTGCCTAATTTGGACTCGAAGAGAAAGAGAGGAAGGAAGGAAAGAAAAGGGGGGTTTTTAGGGATAAAAGAGTTTGGAGTGGTTGTAGATTGATAGAAAGTGAAGGTGTGCAGTTTTTCCGGTGTTTTTGGGCAAGGGAAGAGCTAGCGACTAGAGAGGAGAAGCTGAAAGAAGAAGAAAATAAGAGAAGAAGAAAGAAAATAAATGTTTAATTAGGGATTTAGACAAGCGACATACGCAATTTTATCACTCGGTTAGCGACGAACATAAATGTCTCGTTGCTAATCCTTCATAAAATGGGAGGCAATTTAATTCCGTAAGGCCACCTATTTTTTTACAACAAATGATGAAAACATTCCCGTCATCGATTAGTTGCTATTTAATTAGCGACGTAAATTAAGTTTCGTCGCTATTCTATTGTCAAACGGGCAGCTTTTTTATTTCAACGAGACAGTCCTTTTTTAGAATTAACAATGAATTTAGTACTTTAGCGAAAGATAAAGAAAAACATAAAAAAATAGTAATGAAATAGTTACCAATTGCTGATTTTCGTAGCAACTCCATCGCTAACCCATATCTAAATCACTCGGGAAGATTTTGGCATCTCAAATAATGATAGAATATTATTCGTCGTCGATAAACCGTTGTCAAACCATTTTTATTCCGTTGCTAATAAAATAGATGCTATTTAATTGTTATTTACTTGTTATTTAGTGATGGATTATAGTTTGTCGCTAAAATCTTGTTTTCTTATGGTGTCAAATAGAAAATAATTACAATTTGATATATTTGAATAACAAAAATTAAAGTAGACACACTCAAATGAGAAAAAAAATTGACAACTTTGTAACTAAAAATGTAATTAACTCATGTTTTTAAATATATTTGTAACTTAATTCTTTTTTTTTAATAATTTATTTAATTATTAAGAAATAGAATAGAAAAAATAAGTAAAAAATATAGAAAGGCTTACCAGATAAGAAGATATTTTCTAAAACGAAATAATATTAAATTAATAATAAAAAAACTAATTGATTAGTTTTTTTTTAAAAAAAAAAAAAAAGAAGAGAAACTAGTGTTTTAATTTTACTAAAACGTCATCTTTCTCAACAGCCCTGCAGATATATATATATTTTTTTTGTCACCAATTAGTAGTTGAAAATTTGTGGATAATGTTATAAAATTACCCTTTATTTGTTTTTGAAACTAGCCAAGCTGAGAAAACTTTATTGTTTTGTTGACAAAACTAAATCACTTGGCCGATTTCTTTTTTAATTGCCATTTCCTTCACAGAATATAGTAATCAGATCGAATCACCAAAAATGGCTCAAAGCCAAATAAATCTTTCCTTTCATAATCTTTTGCTAGAAACGCTCTAGTACTGTGTGTGTCATGTGGAATTAGGTTGCATGAGAAGCTGTTTTTTATACTGCTGAATCAATTTGAAAATTTGCCTTCATTTGACAACAAAGTAGAGACAATATCATATGTTTCTTGTCATAGGCTGCAAGATAAACCTGCAGCTCACTACAGGAAACTACAATACCAGGAATCACTATCAGATTCAGAGGTGATTTGCTTCTTCTCTGCATTATTCTTATATTCTTGTAAGTTGTAACATGAAAGGCCTGCAAATCAAACGGCATAAACCAGTCATTTAGGAGTTTCTTTTCCAACATTGGCCTTACCGGCACTCATGGCAGAAAACTTGTCGATCAGCTTGTCTCTATCCGGCCAGTTCTCATGGATGATTGGCGCATTTGCAAATTCCTGCTTCCATGCCGCTAAGGATGGAAATTTTTCCTCGTCTAACAGCTTTAGACCTGTTACCTCCTCAAAGATATCAAGGTAATAAGCAAGCCATCCTAAAGCAAGATCTGCTAGTCCAATTGTCTCCCCACCGAAAAATTTCTTTCCTTTTAGCTCATCTTCTAAGTATTTTAAGTTCTCCAAGGCTGCAGGTATCCCTTCTTCTTGCTCTTTTCCCTCCTTCAAGAACACACCCCACGCAACTGATTGGAAAACCTGCATCCACGAGTAAAGGATTAAGATTAGTCAAAGTCTGATCATATTGCTTCAAATTGATTCACATCTGATCAAGTTCATAAATTCTGCCTTTTAACTATGGAAAATTCATGACTCAGAGCAACTAGTCTCAAGCCGTGACATATAAAGAAGATGAACTAAAACCAAGCAATTAGTCCACATAAAAATCACCGATTATTCTGAAAGTGACAGAGCACCTAAATAATTACCTTATCATCACCAAACTTGGCCCAAAAACGTGCGTTGGCTTTCTGGTGAGGATCTTGAGGCAACAAAGGAGTTTGCTTCCATGTCTCTTCAATGTATTCAAGAATGACTAGTGATTCACAGATGGCTTTACCGTTGTGGACAAGCACAGGAATCTTCTTGTAGACTGGATTGTATTGCAAGAGCGAAGGGCTCTTGTTGGAGAGATCTTCATATATTGTTTCAAACTCAACACCCTTCAATTTCAGTGCCCAGATGACTCTTAGACCATATGGACTTGACCATGTCCTGAAAACCTTCACTTCTTCTGCCATTTTGTGTTTTGTTTATCTCCATCAATCCTAGCTCATTGCCTTTATAAGCCAGATTTTGACTCTGGCTTTTGCTATATTGTCATTTGCAACTAAGATTATCAACAATTGGATAACAACCACCATACTTTTCCAAAATTTCACTTTCTTCCGGGTTTCCTTGCCAATTTTCAGGCTCAACAAATATTTTTGGGTATGGCTTTCTAATATATTGTCATAATAAATTGGGATACCAAACTTCCTTCACCTTTGATTAGTGAACTCTAGAGGTAAAAACCAGTTGAAACGGATAAATTAAATGATGAAGTATATTCAGGTATTTCATTTGTAATCGTAATTTTAACGAATTTATTTGAACGTATGTTTTCATATGTTTTTAAATTTTAAGAAGAGTCATGTACAATAAGGACAAAAACATTTGCATACTTTTTCCTTCCTCCTTTGATGGAAATTACGATGCTTTATATCTAATATTATATTATAGCATCTTCGAGTGCTCTTTTTATATTAAAATTTTTTTTTATAATAAAGAGATTTGGCTCAAATTTCATCTCGAATGCTCTCTTTATCATAATTTTTATATTTAAAAGTGAGATATATAATGTATTTAGCTCTTCAATACTAAAGAGTCCAAATAACTCTTTATCTTATATTTCATTAATGAAAATTATTATTTTCTATACTACTTAGCCTCTTCACCAATCGGATGGAGGGAGATTATCGAAGAAAAAAATTTCAGAATTAAATGTTTTATGGATTTTGTCAAAATAAATAGTTAAAGTAGAAAATAGCATTAGAGATGACATTAATCTTCAATCTATATAATTAATGATGCTCTCTATTTATATTAAAAATGCTAGCTAAAAATAGAGAGTACCAATGGACATGCTCTTACTTGTTTTTTCAACCAATTTTAAGAGTGGTGAAATTCAAATTGGAAGACAAAAATCTGGGGCAAAATCACAAAAACTTAGAAGTTCAAGGATTGCTTTCATAAATTCATGACAAAATAAATATCTTTAAAATTTCTAGCACTTAGCCACGTAGGAAATACGTAAGCGATGACGTATTGTTGGCTGGGCAATCCCAAGTCGTTCTTTATGAATTCTTGGAACTTGGATAGTTGGATCAAGTTTCCAGGACAAAGGATCCACATGCGGTCGAATTTTGCCATTTGCATTCAAAAGACGAGTAAATTATAAATTAGTTCCTTTAGTTTTTCAAAATAAATTAAATAATCTTTTTAATTTTAATAATTAATTAATTAGTTCTTATTATCTTAAATCTATTTGTAACAGGAAAAAATAAATTAAAAAAATATAAAAAGATTGATAAGAAAAAAATATTTTTTTTGTAACAAAATAATATTAAATTAATTATAATCAACAATGATTAAAAAACTAATTAATTAGTTTTTTAAACAAGAAAAACTATTTAATTCATTTTATAAAATTAAAATACTAATTTATAATTTACTCGAAAAAAAAACTCATTGTTTTTCTCCCTAATTTGTAAAATAGCCCTTGGATTTTGAGCAAAAATCAAACACTCCTTTAAACTAAAAAAAGTTTATGATTTTACTTTTTAAACAATATAATTTTTTGAATTTATTCTTTTTATTATTTATTATGATTGCATTGAGAATTAACAAAAAAAAAAAAAATCTTAAAAATCCTCTTAATTTCTCTAGATTCTTCCTTAGTAAACATGATTTCCTAAACTAGTAAAGAAAAAAATATAAATGAAGAGAATTTTTATAAGTTTTTCCATCCATTTCTCAACAGAATCCTAATAAAATGGATGCATTCAAAAGCTCACATTGTTTGGAAAAAAAAGTTCGTAGGGTATTTGACAATTTAGCTTCTTCTTCTTTTCCTTGTGCTTGGGAGGATAAGCAGAAGCTATGACGGTGGGACCCGGAATTTATTTTTATTTTTATTTTTGTCCCGACAAAATGAATAGAAAAATAAGAAAATTACAAATTAGTCTCCATAATGTATACTTATTAATATATCAGCTCCTAGTCTTCAAAATCTCATTTGTTTTCCCGTACTTTCTTTAATTTAACAAATTTATCTCCGGTCAGTTTACTAGCTATGAAACTAAATTTGAATAATTACACTATAGTATACCAATTTGTTTTTCCTCAATTAAGTATATAGATCTTAATTTTTTATTTGAGTAAATCAAGTTTTTTTCAAAATAGCTAATCAGGCATCTTCATTAATTTTTTTAGTTAAGTGATGATGTATATGTTACCTCTATAAAATTAAATTACATTTTTTAATCTTTTTTTCTCAATAAAATACATGAAATTTAATTATTTTTTTTATTTAAAAACATCAATTTTTATTCAAAACCGTCAATCAAGTATTTTCGTCAATTTTTATATTAATTGATGAAATATTTATTATCATCAATGGGTCACAGCTACTTGCACAGAAAATTAAGTTCAAAAATAAAATAAAAAAATGTTGGAAATATTGGGTTCATAGTTTTGGATCATAACCTAATGAAAGACTTCATGTTAAGCCAATAATTTTGGAGTAAATAACTTAGGTTTTTCATTAGATTAGTAATTTTTTTCTCAAATTGTCATGCCTTTGATGTTTTTTTTTTTTTTTCACCCACTCTTTCTTTCTCCTCAACTAAAAACTAAAAAAAAAATGGCAATTTAGAAATAAAAGTTACTAATCTAATAAAAAATAATAAAATAATTAAATTATTGATGGAATTAAAAAGTAGAAGACTGAATGATTAGTTTTTTTTTTTCAAAAAAAAATTAATTAATTAATTTCTCTAAACAAAAAGGACTAATTTATAATTTACTCATAAAGTTTGTAACCCAGTCCCAAAAAAAAAAAAAAAAAAAAAGTGCAGCATATCAATGGATGAATGCAGCATTCTTAAGCCAGAACAGACATCTAAAACCTATCATGCGATACTTTGTCTGATCTCATGTACATGTAGTTCCTAGCTTCAACCAATTGTTAATAACTTAGTGAAATTACTGTAGTAAAAAATTTCAAAGATGCAGTAAAAAAGAATGTAAATTTTTTAATTTTGTTTATGCAATTAGTTGCCTAGATGAGACACAAGATAATAAAATTAATCTGGATGGATCATTAAATGTGATTATTACTTTGATCTTTGTAAGAAATTTCTCTTGATGTGGTCCGTATATATGGCATAGATTAGAAAGATATTTTCTTTTTGATTGTACCTAGCTTTTTTTGAACAATTGTTCGAACACTTAATCAATAATAACATGAATAATGTATCCTATTAATTTTTACTGCGATTATATACTTAGACGTATTTAATTTATCTTATAGTTCTTTGTTTCTATTTCATCATAGGCTATAAATTCAGGAAATTTTTGCAATTAATGTTTCTTTCATAATTTGGATCTTTTTTTATCCACAAGATGGAAAAATTTACTGTTTTCTGTCCTTTCATAATTTTTGCTAGAAACTCCCTAGAACTGTTTGTGCATCATGTGGAATTAGGCTGGATGAGATCATGATGTTGATAAGCCTAAGTAATTCGAAGATGTCAAAGAAGCTGCAGTAATAACTGAATCGATTTGACTAAATGAGCATTATTAGGATAGATATATTGATTTTTCTGAATTAATTAGATTGCAGTTTTAGAATCTAATTCTATCTTTATTTTCTTAAATCTCATATCTCAAGCAGTTTATAAACATGCATAAACCACTCATAATCTGTTCTAGTAATGGAAAAAATTCTTATGTTATCGGCAAATTCTCCAAGTTATGCAATTGCATAATATTTTTAGCACATAGGAAGTATAAAATTTTCAGCACAAAGGAATCCGTAAGCAATGACATGTTGGTGGTTGGACAGGCTCGAATTGCTATTTATTTATTAGTGGGTCTATTATTATTATTATTATTATTATTATTATTATAAAATTAATGGTTTAAAGCTAAAAAGCAAAAACAAAACAAAATGTTTAGATGCTGGACTATTTATTCTATATTTATAAGATTCTTCTATTACCTTTTATTTTAATATCAATAATATATGGACTATTTATTTTATATATGTAAGATTCTTCTATTGCCTTTTATTTTAATATCAACAGTATATGTTAATATTAATAATGAATATCTGAATTTTTTCTTTACTTAATATTTTTTTGGTTGAATTTATTGGTCATGAACAATTTTTTTTAATGATTGTGATTGATATTATCACGATTTTCTTTATAATTTCTTTCTAGTTATATATATAAAAGCATAAGACTATCTTTCAAGGGAATGGTTGTTGGCACGTTCCAACTAAATTTTTATAGATAAATAACTCATTAATGTCTTTATATAATAGTTTGAGTTTCTAATTTATCTATACATTTTTAATTATATTTATTTTTTTTATATAATATTTAAGTCTTCAATATGTCTTTTTTACCGGAATATCCTCGATTGAAATGCAAATATATATATATATATAAAGAAAACTCTTAAAATTATATATGACTTGCATTTTCTATTTTTGAAGCCTTTATATATTTTTTTAACATTTCAATCAAGAGCATCTTGATAAAAAGTTTTTGCTTATGGTTGAAAAAATTGATTAAAAATTTGTATTAGAGACTTAAGTATTATTCAGGAAAACATAATAGATGTAATTACAAAGAAAAGACATATTAAAAACTCAAACTATTATACGAGAATATATTGAATTATTTACCCAATTTTTATTTATGAAATGATACCTTACTTCTTCTTCTTCTTCTTTTTTTACCTATTAGGTCCTCATATAAAATATTTAAAAAATATAGTTGCTTGTTTTAAAGAAAAACCAAAATGTTTGAATAAATGGTTAACATGAGTCACGAGACTAATCATAAGCATAAAGAATTAAATTATAATTGTGTTCAAATCCTAGCTAGATTAAGGAATAATTTGCACTTCCTTAACAAATTATCTATTTATGGAAGATTTTGATTAGCTGGTCATGATCATTACTAGACTTGCAATAATCATGGAATTATCAACAGAAAATGTCGAAACATTTGATCCATATGATCAACGGGAATCAATCCCATTCTCTGCATGCTAGCTCACACAAAGGAAAGAAAAGATGATATATTTACTTAACTTCTTTTATACTATCATTCTCTTTGAGGAGGACACGACTTATATATTCTTAATTGTGAAGGAGATTAATTATAGAAATAAAAAGTTCTAATCCATTAATTACAAATTGTTAAATAATATATCCACATCAAATAAATAAATAGAAGAATATTAATATATAAACTTGAGAATGAATTTTCACCCGAAAGCTTATTTTTTATATGAAATTCAAACTCAATTATCAAATATAATACAAATTAATATCATTACTTTTATCTCTCAATACATGTGTCTTTGGATATATATATGTTTTGGATTCTTTAGGTATCCTAAAAATACAAACTAATCTTTCACTGTCTTCTCGGATGTATAAGACGAGCACAACTACTTAAAGAGTTTTTTGTATACACAATGACTCGAATTTGAGATCATTTATTTAAACGATTAAAGTTCTTTCCATAAAAATCAATCATTTTAAATTCTCAATAGTATAAGACAGGCATAACTACCTAAGGAGTTTTTATGTAAATAAATATTCGAATCCGAGATCACTTGTTTAAATGACTAAAATTATTTCTATTCAAACCAACTCTTTTGAATTCTTTAGGTAATATATTTACTCCTTTAAAAAAAAAAATATTTTTTAGACACCATGAGAGATGGAGGATTTATTCCCAGCATGCCAAAACTAGAAATTATTGATCATTGAATTATTATTTAAAGAAAATAAAATGGTAAAGTACGAAAATAAGTCAAAAGATCATTCAATAAATTGAGAATGAAGAAAAAAAACTTACAATAGTTGACAACTAGCATATACCCCGTACGTTGCCACGGGGTGAGCTATACAACATTCTTATGTATTCATTTATATAAACTATAAAATTTAAAAATAATTATTTAAAAGGATTACGCGAAAAAAATTCAAAAAAAAAAAACCAAAAGATATATTTTATATTTTACTGCAGAGTTAGGTAAACGAAAAGTTTGTAAAGTTGAGTAATATAATGTTGCTAATTAGATATTGTTTTATATAAACATGTATTTTATTAAAAATAAATATAATAACTGGTAATTAAAATAATGATGTGATATTTTTTTGAACTTTAGATGATTAATTTTTACCATACATTCTTCATCCATAATTTGTTAATGAGATATAGAGACAACTCAAAACAAAAGGTCAAAAAACCTTTGTTAAATCTAGAATTTGGCAAAAAAAAAAAAAAAAAAAGATAAAATTATACACGATAAAAATTAAATGATCAAAACAAAGTAAAGATCATAAAATAAGGATAAAAATAAATAAAAATATTCACTAAAAGACACACAAAAAAAAAGCTTATAAATAACAAGACTAAAAAAAATTCATTACGCATAAGGTAGGAACAAATGTAAAACATGATAGAATTTTAATGAACAAAAAAAAAAAAAAATCACAAATAAGAACAAAAACAGAAAATGTTTTTTTTACTAAAAGTAAAAAAAAAAAAAAACTTAGAGTAGTGAAACCGTATTTAATTTTAGTGTAGAAAGAATAATGATTAAATTAATAAAAATTTAATGATCAAAATAAAATAAAGATCACAAAATAAAAACCAAAACATAAAAAAAAGTTTTACTAAAAGTAAAAAATAGTTCTTTATCAAGAAAAAATCAAATGTAATAAAAATTTAATGATCAAAATAAAAAACAATTACAAAGCAGTGGATTGAAATAAAAATAAAATTCTACTAAATTCAATGGCCAAAATAAATAAAAAAATCTCAAAACAGAAATTATAATAGAAAGAAAATTTTCATTAAAAAAAGAAAGCTTAGGATAATAAACTCTATTTAGTTTTAGTATTGTTAGGATAAAAATCAAATATGATAAAACTTTAATGACTAAAATAAAAATATATCATAAAATAGGAACAAAAAAAGAACATAAATTTTTTCTAAAAATAAAAGAAAAAATATTTATTATAAGGACTAAAATCAAATATAATAAAATTTTAATATTTATTATAGGGATAAAAATCAAATATAATAAAAATTTAACGATAAAAAAAAAGATCACAAAGTAGGGACCAAAATAAAAATAAAGTTAACTAAAAGCCAAAAAGGGCCTTGGCTACAACAACCGAAAAAGAAAAAGAAAAGAAAAAAAACGTGAACAGTTAATGAATAGTGAAAGTGCTACAGTGGTTTTTTATTTTCTTTTAGTTTTATTTGTAATTATAATAAAAATTACTTTTTTAAAATAATTTTTTTATTCATAAAGAAACAGAAAAAGGCAATTGAAGTTTGTGCAATATAAATTTTAAAGTTATCAAGATTGTGTGGTAGAACCTATACTAATTGCAGGATCAACGAAACTAATTTTAGTATAATTTGAGATTATTTATTATTTTTAAAACATTGAATATTATTACTAATAAAACTATATAAATATATAGCTATATATCATGATTTTAAGTAAGAATATTGTCCGATACAATAGAGTTTAAAAATTATAAGGAAAGCATCATTAGTAATTAAATATTAAATCAATGATATAGTAAAAAGGTAGGAATTTTTTCCTTTCAATCATAGATTTCTTTACTTTATGTAGGGCCGAAGTAGAATCTTTTATTCGGCCAGCACAATATATTGGGCCTCTTTTGTATAAGATGGGCTAGATTAACCGAAGCCCATCAGTATCAGTCCAAGTATTAGCAAATTGGGTCAAGAGTAGTTCCATCCCTTTGGCCCAAACCTCCAAATCCAACATCCACCGTTCAAATCCTAATGGCCCCACTTTTCCTTTCATTGCCCAGGTGTCGAAAACCCAATTGATCAAGCACCAACTCTTAAACCCTTTGAAAACCACACAATCAGACCCATGTAAAGATCTTACTTTTCACCTCCCTCCCTCATAAACCCTTGACAAACCCTTCTCCCTCCCGTCTCCGCCTCTCTTCATTTCTCTTAAACCCTAAAAATCCCCAAATCAAATTTAGGGTTTCTCTCTCACAAAACTCTAAAAATGTTATCAACAATTCTAAGAAGATCATCATCTTCTTCATCCGCATTAGCCCCACATCGGGCTTTTGCCGCCGCAACTCTTCTACACTACCACCAATTTACGCCTGCCGCGTCAACAATTCCTCCCAGAAATGAGTCTGTTTCCTGTGCGAGTGCACCCTTTTCTTCTTTTCTTAGTTCTCTAATCAGAGCTAGAGACTTTCATGTGAAATCTGGGCCGTTGGATTTTAAGGCGAGTTCGGTGTCTCAAGCTGGGATAGCTGTAGCTGATTATGACTGCGATGAAGAGAAAGGGAAAGGGAGTGAAGAGGGGCTTGATATTTCAAAATTAGGGATTTCTGAAGAGATTGTTGGTGCTTTGGCTAAAAAAGGGATAACTAAACTGTTTCCCATTCAGGTAATTTTCATTTCCTTTTTTTTAAAATTAAAAATTTGGGATTTTTTTTTGTATGACTTGTTGAATTACATTTTTTTTTCTTATAATTAAATTAAATTATGATTAATTTTGTAGGATTTTTAATTTTTATTTATTGGGCAATTTTATTTCTTAAAAAATGATTTTTTTTTCCTGTCCATTCCTACTTACAAATGAAAGTTTGGTTCGTATTTTAATAAAGTTGTTTCAATCATTCCAACTTAAAAAAAAGCTGTTTTTTAGGCAAATAGTTTGTTTCTCTTAAATTATTGTTTGATTATTTTTGTTATTTTTATTGCAGAGAGCTGTGCTTGTACCAGCAATGCAAGGGAAGGACATGTTTGGTCGAGCACGAACAGGAACAGGGAAAACACTTGCTTTTGGAATTCCTATAATCGATAAAATTCTACAATTCAACAAGCAATACGGGTTTGTTCATTTCTTTTGTTATTTTACTCTATTTTGATTGAATTTGATTTTGTTGGTTTGCATGGCTTTTTATGTGTTTGGTTTGTATTGGGTTTGTGTAGGAGAGGAAAGTACCCGTTAGCAATGGTTATGGCTCCAACAAGAGAACTTGCAAAACAAGTGGAGAAGGAGTTTCGCGAGGCTGCACCTAGTTTGGATACCATATGTTTATATGGGGGTACTCCTATTTCAAAACAAATGAGGGAGCTTGAATATGGTGTTGATGTTGTTGTTGGCACGCCTGGTCGTATTATTGATCTGATGAACAGGGGTTCCCTGGTTTTGTCAGAAATTAAGCATGTTGTTCTTGATGAAGCTGATCAGATGCTTGGTGTGGGATTTGTTGATGCCATTGAGACAATCTTGTCAAGGTTGCCTCGGAATCGGCATAGCATGTGCTTCTCTGCTACAATGCCAAGTTGGATCAGAGAGCTTGTCAGGAAGTACCTAAAAGATCCACTGACTATTGATCTTGTAAGTATGGGGATTCACCTGTCATTGTCAGGAGAATAGATGTATGTGGGCACCATAATTTTGTATGTGATATGTATCTGCATGGTTGGTTAGTTTCTTATTGATGCATTTGTGTGAGTTTGTTTCATAACTGTTTGTAGTTTCTAACCAATAATATGTATCTTAGGTTGGAGATTCCGATAAAAAGCTGGCTGATGGAATTACCCTCTATTCAATTGCCTCAGACATGTATGGAAAAGCATCGATTCTTGGTCCTCTGATTACAGTATGTATCCAGAGCATCTATTGGTTGTAGTTTGTAGGATTTCTTAGCCTCATAATTAATTTCTATTATGTAATCTGCGCATAACGGAGAAACTTAATAATTAGTGTTGCTTTCACTTTTACCTTATCAAACGATTTTGCTCTATCAACTTGAGATGTGTATTTTTTAGGAACATGCTAAAGGAGGAAAGTGCATTGTTTTCACTGAAACGAAGCGTGATGCTGATCGATTAGCATATGCCATGGCAAAACACTATAAATGTGAGGCTTTACATGGTGATATTTCACAGATGATGAGAGAAAGGACACTTTCAGGCTTCCGAGAGGGGCATTTCAATATTTTAGTTGCAACTGATGTTGCTGCTCGTGGTCTTGATGTCCCTAATGTTGATCTGGTGAGCTATATTATTTCCCATCTAACTGTTTTAGTTCTGGTACAAGTAGTTAATTGTGGAGGAGCTTTAGCTTTGCGCTTATGCAACAAGTAGTCTCCAAAATCTCTCCCTTTCTTGCTATAATCAGTTTCTAATCTCAATCAATCATTGTAACAGTATACTATGTACAGATACTAGTAGGCTCACAGTTTGCTATTCCACTAATTTAACCACACATAAAAACCCTAAATTTCTGTTTTAAGCAGCTCCCTAAAAATGTGCACTTAGATCTCACAATTCCATGCATTGAGAGCTATTTTTTCTGCTCTCTAACCTCTTCTGGTTCAAGTTTTATTAAAATTACGAGCCCCTAAGTGTTCATATTTTACATTCTTGCCCCAAAATCCCTAATTTCCTCAAACTTTTATCCATCATGAAAACACAAGATTATATTCATCAAAATCTTCCCTGCATTAACTGTATTTTAAAACCAATTGCAAACAAGTTGAATAGCTATGTTGGCAAGTTGTCATTCGATTCTTATGTTCTCATTTGCATTTCCATCCTCCACTTGACGACCTATTACCCTTAATCAGGTAATACATTATGCACTTCCGAGATGTTCAGAGACTTTTGTTCATCGATCTGGCCGTACTGGTCGTGCTGGGAAGAAAGGAACTGCAATTCTTATTTATACATCAGATGAGTCCAGGCATATCAAGATTATTGAACGGGACACAGGGTGCAGATTTTCTGAGGTAACAATCAATCTCCTTTTTTCCATCTCTGTGTTTCATTTGTTTTCGATGTGTAAAATATCTGGTCACCAAGTTTCAATTGAGAATTTTCAGCTGGGAATGATCTGCATATTGTAAATATCAGAATCTTTAGAAGCAAACTTATGCATTGTACGTGTTATGACAGTCTTTTTTGGTACGGTTTAATGAGGATTATGGAGATTTGATCCATTTTACTATAGCATTTACCATTTCCAGAAAACAAAACAATTTTGCTTTAAATATGCTAAGTTTCTGCTCAACTCTAGATTATTAGAAAAAAAGTGTCCGTATAAATTGATGCAGTATTTTGAATTACTTATTTCCATGTATTATGATGTGGAAGTCTATTGCAATGTGCATGATCTGGTTCACACGAGTATGTGTGCGCACATATGTTTATTCAGTATACATGTCCTTTTATTTTTGATTGAGCAGAAATGATGGTGTCCTAATTGTGATGTTTTTCAGCTCCCTAAGATCGATGTTGATGGTGCAACCATAGACATGCACAGTGGCATGGGTCGTGGACGATCTAACTCATTTGGAGGTCGTGGATACGGTGATAGTGGTCGGTTTGGTGGTTTTGGGAATTATGGATCTGGGCAAGGCTTCAAGAATTCTGGTTATGGCCGTTCTGATGGTCAATTTTCTGGATCTAGTTACTCAGGTAATAACAGAAACCAATCAGGGAATTTTGGCCGTTCTAGCTCTTTTGGGGACTTTGGTTCAGGCCGTTCAAGCTCTTTTGGGGACTTCGGTTCAAGACGCTCTGGTGGATTTGGCAACAATTCAAGGCAAACAGGTGGTTCTCAGAGAAGTTCTTTTTTGGATAGATTTGGGGACTTTGAGAAGTGATGGCATGAACAACAAGAGAACACAATTCTGACTTGATGAAAAGGTATAACACATTTACTCCCAAAATCTTCTCTCTGTTGGCTAGTAATATACTATTTGTACTGTAGTTCCATATATATATATATATATATATATATATATATATATGCATAAATTTGCTAATAAACACAATTGTGAAGAGGTATTTTCTTCTGTATTAGTTGAGCACCTGCTGATATAATGTCTTTTTCTTCAATTAATAAACAATTGACTGGTAATACTCTGTAGGAACATCTTGTACCGAGTTTTTAATTCCTAAAGCACAACTCTCAAATTAATGGCTGTACATAACTATCTGTAATGCAAAATACTTTCGAGGGAAGAGAGACCTTAAACATCTCCCTTTTAGAAGGAGCCCATCGGTATTCGATACACGTATTTGCACTTTGCTGTCAATCCCTAGCTCACCTTATATGGGGTGATAATTCATCAGTGTCTTACCAATTTTTACTTCCCAATTATTTATGAAGACATCTCCTTGTCAACCGTTTACGTTAAAAAAAAACTTATTTTTGACGTTGACCGTTTTGCACCACAGGTAAAGAGGCAAAGAAATGACTACGTGAGAAAATGGTGATCGAAAAGGGCTGGTATGGCTCTACGGAAGGGGAGAGGAATTGTTACTAATATTTCTAGCTATTTTAATTTAAAAAAAAAAAAAAGAAAGAAATTGCTATCTTGCTGTTTATATTAAAGCTTGTGGCTATCGTATGAAGTGAAAAATAAGCACACTATCATACATAATATTAGGGAGCAGCTTTCATATGTAATCAAACTTGAAAAGTTTAGGAAATTTCTTCTCTCTCTGGCCTTGCCTGTGTTTGTGTTTAAGATGTCGAAAATTCTGTAGTTTCTTGTTATTTGAATCCATTTAATTCACCAAAGAGATTGTAATCCAGTGATAATGGTCTCTTGTAATAAGAGATTAAGGTTTAAATTCTAACATATTAGTAAGTTCTGTTAAGAGTTTTGGGGGTGTGAGTTAAAAAAAATTCATTGACCTCTTCGGAAAGAGAGTGGATCAGACTTACAAGTTGACAAAGGAAGGCAATACTCAAAAAGGCATTTAAGATCATCAACAATTGTTCTTCTGAAAATCACTCCACTGCTTCGAAAGTGATATGTGGTAATCATCGTCACTGTAACTTATTATGCTATTTGAGTAAATAAATAACCGAAGCAGCTGTTTTCAAGCCATGAAGGACCATCACTAATGGTGGCCGAAGTAGACCCATTGCTTGCAAATATAAGGGGCATGATAAGTAAATAATTTTAAATTGTAGTTACGGTTGAAACAATAGTTGCAATTACTGTTGCAAAAATAGAATAGTTACGATCGAGATGGTAATCACGGTTGAAAAAATAATTACAATTAAAAATTATTAACAAATTTATTCAAATTAAAGTGACTAATTTACTCAATTAAAGCTTGCATTCCTCTCAGCTTTTAATATGTGGGTTAGTCATTGTTGATTATTTGTTATTTTTAATTTTCTATATGAATAATGCTATTATATAAAATAGATATAACAACAAATAATGATGTTACATATCAATAATGCTATTATTAGCTGTTATATAACAATAAATAACAATTTTATTGTTATGTAACATTGTTATTAATTGTTATATCTATGAAATAGCATTAGCAACCTCTTTCGGATATTAATCTATCTAATTCAGAAAGGAAAAACTCGCATCAGTATCTCAATTTCAATCCAAACATGGGTTTGATTCACACTCCATGTTCCGAGAGATATTTATTATCAAAAAAAAAAAAAAAGGGAAAAAACAGTATGTCTAAAGAGATGAATTGAAAAGGGGCAGATGTATAGAACCTTTCAACGAGATAGTGTTTTCTCAACTCTCTCTAAATGAAATCTATTCTAAGCATGTATGCCATGGTTCCAGGGTACAAATATCTAAATTTGATGAGCAATTACAACGCCAAATAACAGCAATAAAATACTCCAAAACTATTATATAACAGATGTAATGAAAATTATTTAAATCTACGAGTCTGCCCATGAGCTTTACCTGAGAAATGACTGTAAAATGATAGTAAATAAATCCGACATTCAAGCACATAAACTCTTATTTTGTAGCCGAAAGGGGCACATGGAGGGGAATCTACTGAAGAATCGATTTTGTTTTCTCGTACACAAAATTGGTAGGTAGTTATTGACATCATTATATGACCAAAAAAGGTGACGTATAAACTTACAAATAATGATAATAAGGAACAATTACCTAACGTAAATATACAATGAGCAGATCTCAAGCATTGAAGAGTTTTCTAAAAGGGCCATCCTTTCTGTCTTTTGCTGCTTCGGTTAGAGCAAGGAACCTCTTGAAACCTGTTGTTGCTGCACCCCGTCCGAGAGCAGCGGCTCTAGTTAGTACGTCTTCTCGGGAAGCAATAAATCCGACTGTAGAATTGGCAATTGCAGGGGGGCAGGAGCAGGAGGAGCAGCTGGTGTGACGGAAGGTGCAATAGAAGGTTGAGCAATTGTAGGGCCATGCTTGTTGAAATCGTCAAGTATAGTCTGCTGATCCGCTTTTTAAGACCCTGATCAACCCCACATGATGTAGAGAGCATCAGAAAAACGAATCTTGAGAAAAAATTACAAACTTGCTTAAAAATAGAAAGAGAACAAGCAATAACCTTGAGCTCCAGAATTCGCTGAAACTCCATTGGTGTTCCCTCTGGTAGTAATGCCCTATAAGTATCTGCCACAGAATCAATTGGGGAGAGTATAACCTGTGAAATGAACATTACTTTGAATTAGAAATAAAACCTGTAACAAGCTGTAAAGTAAAATCCATCATAAAGTTCAAGACAAACCTTCAAAAGTGCTTCAGCTTTACTCATCTCACGGCTCACAAACTTTGAATAGCTAACAGCACTCGATGTCTATTTCAACAAAATAAAACAAAGAAAAATAGTATAGCATGGGTAACAAGGCCCATACAGGCATATTCTGAATACCAATAATAGCTTATATATTACCACTCCTACAGATGTGGACAAGAAGGCCCGATATGTGCTATGGTTACTGAAGCATAGTACCTTCCAAAGCTGGAAGGCTTCAATCCAAACGGTATGCAAATTCTCAAATTCTACTTGCTGATCTTTCACCATGCTTACATGTACAAATGTTCATATGGGAAAGCTAACTCACCTGTCGACCAAGGGAAGGAACCTCCAGAAGAATTGTCTTGACAGCTTGGGTATCTAGAAGCATCTGCAACAGCATCATGCCATTTTTAATCTCTAAATTACATTAAACAATAAAAAAATGGTTCCAAAAAGGAAAAAAAATTGGCGCCTTATATTCAAAAATATGAATAAAATAGATTATTTGCTTACTCTCATTTCAAAGGCAACAAGCCAGAAAAGCAAATAAATAAATCACAATCTCAATCATCTGATTGTATAGAAAATTTAAGATAAGACAGAAAACAACATAACAAACACCAAGCAAATTTTTTATATGAATCACAGCTAAAATTGTCAATTAGTTTACATGCAGTCTTGCATATACTAAAAGAAATTGAATTTCATAACAAGAAACCGTATTCAAGGGGGAAAAAAAATTCAACTTGGTGGATGGGAGCAACCCAAATGCCAAGTCATGTAAAACCTTGCATCGCATGTCATATAACTCATGGCTGCTTAATAATTAGATGCATGAATAATTTTAGTGTAGTAAATGGAGCCTTTTCCAAACACATGTCTACCTTAAATAAGTCACCAAATGTAAGACTTAGATGCTCTTCATTTTATATGTTATCCGATCTCTCTTTGTGCCAGCAAGCTAAATTGAAGAAAAAACAAAAGAAACAGCGAAAATAGTCCTTACTTGTTGGGCTCCAGTTTCTGATATTTGCTTGCACTTGAAAATGTTGGCATAGAATCGTGGGCCAAGAGATGATGCAAGCTGCACAAAACTTTCAAAATGTTTACTTTGAGCAAAGCAAATGTATATCCACCAAGTTTTTAAGACCAAGATAGCAATATCATGATCATTAACTCTTTCACTCCTTTATTATTATTATTTTTTTGGTGTGTGTGTGTCATGGGGCGTCTTTGGAATCACCTTGTCCAAGAAGTACTGGAAGTGAATCGGTGAAAGAAGTCTTCCTAGTGCAGGAATGCTGCTTGCAAGGATCATATTTATGCCATTCACATACCTGCAGAAAATGGTTTTGTTATTAATGAAATTTGTATCCAACCCAAGTATTCACAGTTAGAATTTTAAACAAAGGCAGATTACTCTGATTGGTCGCCAACACTTTCAAGTGTTGCCCATGAAACACGTGTCATTGCAGCCATTTCAGCATCAAATTTAGTTTCCAGGCCATGCACTAGGGTCATTAACGCTTCAGTAATAAGCGCTGAAAAATCTTCCTGCATAATCGAATGACTCACGTGATAAATATATGCAAAGCAGAATCGCTATGAAAAAATCTATTATGGATGGGTACTACCTCGACTGCTGACATATCCACTCCAGTGGCTAATTGATGATCAATTATTTTGGATACACTTTCAGCCAGTTCACCGGACTGTCAAAAAAATTAAACCAAGATTACAAAGACTTCAAAGTATCGCCTGTAACAAGGACAAATATATAGGTAACTTGAGGTTGATGGTACATCCACTACTTCCAATCAGAGGAAGCAACCTTAAAAAAAGAGTTGTAACTGACTGACCGTTATTTGGCAGTATTCAGCTGAATTGACAATGTAACAAATCACCCTTTCATCTCTGTCAGATGTCTGTCCAATATGTAATGATAAGCAAAATGCAAATAGTTGTTATAAAAGATAACCTGCTTTCTCAAGCAATTATGAAATTCTGATAGCTGTGCTGATACCTTTATATATCCGTCCATACCAGTGGCTGCTGCAACAATCCCCATACCGCCCTTAGGTAGTCTTGCCTTAAGCTTTGCTGCATATGCTCTGAGAACTCTTTCAAATACCTAATGATGGAAGTGAATAGAGTAAGCTCACACCAATATTTTCTATACTCGTACGACAGAGGTCAGCTCATCAGCTTCAAGGTCAGTTGAATGCAAAGCAATCAACATAATCCATTTTTCCGATTGAGATATGATTTAAAACTTGAAATCACCTTTTCTGCAACAGCAACTACACAAGTTCCATTCCTCTAGGACACCTTACTGATTAGGAGAAACTATATCAGCAACTGGAAGCTGACAATTTCTTTTCATTGCTTCCATAGCTTCTAATGAAGCTCATCATTAGGATTATTATTGTTTCCTTTTTAGGATCAAAGCTTTAGGAAACTAACCTAAAATCATAAACTTTCCAAGTTACATTGATGGGATAGAAGAGATCTTTCATGATAGGTGTCAAATGCCATTTATCTGTTACATAAAGTTAGAAGAATTTTCTTTAAAATCCCTGTCACCCCCCATGTGCACATAAAATTCAAAATGCACTTCCATTTCATGGACTGGAACCTGATGTTTCACTCCCCAGTCCAGCAATCATCATAGCACTATTACTACAGATTCCGTTGAAAGATGTATATTGTTTCGAAGGGAGTCCAATCAGAGATCATAAGAAAATTTAATTTGAAATTCTTCAAACCCTTGAAATGGAGTTTTCTCATGATGATCCTAAGAGACCATCTGTAGCAATTTTATCCTTCAGGGACACTTTAAAACTCAGATGCTCTACATCCTCCATATGAATCCGCCGCAACTACCAAACCAATTATAAGAAGCAGATACCTTGTTCCTTCTGTTAATATTTCTAAGCACCAAGTTCATTCAAATATTTAAGCTATTGAATTATTCCAACTGTAACACTGACAACAATAAATGAAAACTAAATGATGGATTCTAACGAGGTACCTTGAACAAATTAAGTAAAGTCTGGTTCTTTGTGAGATTACTACACCTCTTTAAACTCCTCTTGATTGTAAGAAACAACTGAAAACACAACAGAGCACCACGTCATTGGAACACAATATACAGGCCATCCCTTGAAGCAATGGTGAAATTCTTAAAAAGACGTGTGAAGGGTGCAGGATCAAGTGGAAGCAATGGTGAAATTCTTAAAAAGACAGGTGAAGGTGCAGGCTCAAACGTTGAGGTAACCATTTCATCACCATTCCAGCACCTTGTTGTTGCAAGACCACACCTTTCCAGATGCAATCTAAAGTGCAGATGTAAACACATAATGCATGGATCGAACACAAAATGGCTAACATGAATGGTGATAGTTCATACATAATATTTCTCTTGAGACTAAAATAAACAATTGAGAGAATAGTTTAGTTGGCTGCCTAATAACCTGACCCCAGTAAAAGTATTCTTCCAAGTTCCAACTATTAACAATTATAATAGATCAAAAAAAAAAAAAAAAAAACCACTGTAATAAGCAAAGGCATCCTAGGCAATTGCAAAGTTTAGCAAGACAAAGCCAACTAGAAATGCCATCAAAAATTGATTAAGAATTCACTTCCAATGCAAAATTAACTTTACAAGAAGTCTGAAAGGGAAGAACTTTGGAGATTGGTATAAAGCATCCTCTCAAGTGACAACAGGAACAAGCTCTAAATTCTGACATGCTTCACTGGCAACCTAATATACATGTTTTCCATCTAATACTTCTATAATCAGGAGAAATAAATTGAATGCAAACAAATGCACAATGATTAAGGATTACTGGAAACTCACAGCAGGAAAATAAATCAAATGAATTAAAAGGGTCTAAAATATTTAATTACCAGTGTAAGAAAAATGCTAGTAAGGCATATTAAATACCACGGAATCATCTACCAAGCATCTATAAATTTCAAATAACTGCTGCAATAATTATGTGGTTACAATAATGCTGTGAAACACAATTTATGTCCAGCTGTTTACCTGCATGCTACTTGTTAAAACATTATTCTGACTTCCTTCCTCGATATCCCATGTTTCATCCTGTGATAATTACAGTTCACTGAAAAATAAGCGCAAGGCCGTTTCAGAATGCATATATAGAGAAGTGATATAGCCAACCAACCTGAACAAGTTTTTCTAGATTCTCCATCAGTGTTTTCTGTTCCAGTTCGATATACACTATCAAATGAGGTTCGAAGCAAGATGAAATAATTCCGTGGAAGTTAAACTGCAAAATCGATGAGCACAGACAATTGTCAAAAATTTAGAAACTCTGAAGCAAGATAATATATATATATATAAAATCAGAAAGACATGAGAATAGGAAGGGAGATATTTATTAAACTATAATTTCAAGATGCATCCATGCAGAGGATCTTTTTATCATTCTTTCGGTACTGAAATAGTCAATCAACAAACTATTTCAAATTTCTGACTAATGCAGCATTGTATTAATAGCCATGCATATCATAAAGCATTTTCTATACTACTATTAAACCATATGCAATGGAAACATATAATGAGAATATCTACCCCAGCTCCAGGTACTGACAAATCATTATTTCCATCCTTCTCCTGCAAGCACAGAACCAAAAGGGGAAACAATTAACTTGATAGCCACTTTTAACAATATTTTAATTACTTATCAGCCAATATTCAATCATACATCAGGCCTGCTTCCTTGATTTGCAGCAAGCTTTTTTTCATATTTCTTCCGAATATCTGAGACACTTTGATTATTATTTTCTTTACCAATTTCTTCAATCTCATTTCCAATCTCTCTACTTCGAGTGCCTCCTCCAAATTTCTCTGCCAATTCATCCTCAAATTCACGAGTTCTTTGTAGCGCCTTTAGACAATTGTCAGAACATAGATTACATCAGGATAAGTCAAACTGTCATCTAGAAATAAATAATTGACAAAGAATATACTCTTAACAATCAAATATTATTGACATTGCCAAGGACTTATCAAAGGTATTTAATAGAGTAAAATGAAAGGATTTGTGTGTTAATAAGTCTCTTGGGGGTTAAAGCTTGACGGAGCTGAGCATTTCATGTAAAAAATTGCAAAAAACAAAGCCTGAAAAATAAAAATCAGCAATGCCAGGGAAACCACTATGAAAGAAAATTCTTTAGAATAGAAAATAAATAGTAAAGTAACTGACTCAATACAAAATCTACTGCTATTTTGTGACTCATTTAGAGACAAAGTTCAGCAGCATGTATAAATGAAGGAATGCTTACCATCAATAAGATTCCAACATCAGGCTTCTCTTTGAGGTTATCAAGTATCACCTCCAGTTGCTTTCTGAAAACACATCCAAAACGAACTTTATGGTTATGTACATTATTATCCTACAAGTATAGCACTGATGTCATTCATACTTGACAAATTATTAAAGTTTGATGCCTAAATACAATGACCCACCTTGTTTTCTTACAGAATTGGATACAGAGCCGGTAAGGAACATGCCATGAGGGAGGAAAGATCTTCCATATGTCCTCATTTGTTCTAATCCGACGCTTGATCCATGCATATCTTCGTTCAGTTTTATCCAGCTTAGCAAGTTCTGGTCAAATAGAAAACATTGAAATTTCAAAATTAAAGATACAGAAAAAGCATTGCACTAAAAACATACAGACCAAAAAAAAAAAAAAAAATAGTGCAACAGACCAGCTCCTTCAAAGATTTGTTCATAGGAAGTAAGCTCCCTGCTGCAAAAATTGTTTACCAACTCTTCCCTCACAGATGGCTCTAAAGCATCAACAACTAAGCATGCATCAGATAAATGCTGAAGTAAATTAGCTTCCTCTGTTTCCTTTCCGGTACCTAAGCTGAAATAAAAATAACAAAAAAAAAAAAAAAAAAGGAGAGAGAAATAAGCGTAGATAGAATGTATCTCAGGAGAGGAAGAAAGAATAGAAAATGGCAAAGTACTTAAAAAATGAATATGATTGCATGCTATTCCTTTATACATCAGCCATTTGAAAAAAAGCTCGCTCTCTTCTGTGTTAGTTTTTTCATTGGTTTTTTTCCTAGAGAACTCCAGTCAAAATTTAGGTTATAAATGAGATGAACAGTTCAAAAGTTTTAAACATCCGCAGCAGCCAAAAAAGTTGAAAAGCTTATTAATCTGCAATTGGGTATAACAAGATGGGTGGGTCAATTGCTGGATTGAATCCCAAAAAACAGTTTGCCATATTTTAATTACAAAAAGAAATTACTCATTTCGTGTTAACCACAAAATGTAGCAACATTAAACACTGAAAAAAAGAATATAAAAACAGATTAGTGTGAAAAAACAATAGATAAACTTAGCTTCAAATGACATTAGCTTAGAATAGTATTTCATAACTGCTCATATATCATTAAAAAACACGAGGGAAGTAGATTACAGATTAAAATCAAGATGCACATGATCTACATCTCAGATTAAAATCAAGATGCACATTATCTACATTTTCTACTACTGCGCTAAAGAAATATCATATCACATGCGTAGTTTATAACCATACATAACCAGGTTTTAATCACATTATGTGTACCTAGAAATCAAATCCCAAACCATTATTACTTTCAAGTCCAAAATCCTACAGGTTTGTAACAAATTATTTGAACATGGATAGAAGATCCACTTCAAGTTCAAGGCATGCAGGTAGGAAAGGTATGCATAGCAACAGGGGGTAGGTATTCGAATAATTATCTTCGAATAGCATACTCAGGCATTGTTTTTTCTGTTCTCACGGGGAAGGTTAAGTCCTACTGGATTTGGTGGATTGATTAAATTTGCAATCCCTGCTAAAAATCTCCAATTTCTCTATGTGAAAAACATGGGCAGCAATCAAGAAAAAGAAGAGCATACCTTGAGAAATCAGAAAATACATGTGACTTGAGTAGTTGCTTGATATTTTTAAACTTCTCCCTGAGCTCTGTGATTCTTGGTACATCCCTATAGGCTTCAAAATGACTGCATAATTGATTTACTGCCTGGAATACATTATGAACCAGTACGTTTTAAACAAAATGCAAATCAAAAGAACAATAACAAAGTGCTCCAGGAATGTCGGAAATACTTTCCAATCCATAGATCAGAAACTGAGGCACTAGAAGACAAAAGATCAGAAATATCTTAATGCATGGTTTGAATGATTCCCATCTTGAACGAATCTGAGTCATCACAAAGTCAACAAAGAAAGAGCACTTTTTTTTTCTTTGCTGAAAGCAAAAAAGATAATGCTGATGAAAGGGTCTCCAAAGTCCAAACCTCCACTCTCTTTGATATTAGACAAGAAATTGATATTCAAAAAGCTTCAGCTTCTAAGGGTGTTCACATGGTAAAAATTCAAATAGGTAAACAATGGGCCTTGTAACAGATCTTCAAGGATTTTAATTCAATGGTGCTGAAGTCTATGAGAATTGCAAGACTCCTATGTCTCAATGTTGTGGTCTCAGTAAATCGTAAAAGACTGCGAAGGAGCAACTGCTCATCTACAAAAGTCCAAGACAATTTTATGTTCATCCCCAATGGAGAGCATTGAACAAAGGGAACATTTAAGCAAGGAATACAGACACTGGTTTCTATCTGAAAGCAGTAAAATAAAAGAAAAAGAAAGTCATTGAAATAATGTTTAACTAGATACATAAAAAGTAAAGCACCTCTTAATCACCAAAATAGAAAAATTTAATGATCCCCTAGGAGATTAGGTACCTCCAGCTGCGCAGCTGCCTCCTTATATTGTCGTTTGGAAGCCATTACTTGAAGCTGCTCAACAGCAGACACTGCGATAGAACAAAAAACCCATGTTACCTCACCAATTTATCTACAAAACATTCACATAAACATTATAGGATTCAACACAATTCACTTCTGCTTTATCTAGAGTGAAAAAATGTTGCACTTCACAGTATTGCATCTCCAAGAGGGATGGAGTGGGAGTGTGGGACTTTGGAAGGAAGACAAGGTGTGATGCTCAGAAAGTTGCACCCATGTGATAGCATATAGATGATGAAAAATAACACATGTTCTGATGAAATCAAGCATTTGCACAGGAAATTGAGATACCTGTTTTCCAGGGATATATTCCCTTTGTTTTGTTTTGTTTTTTTTAATTCTGTTTCAATAAAACATCTTACACATGAAGAGTGAAAAGTTATCTTAACCAGAAGTTCCACCACAATATCCGCTCTATATCATGTTATTTTTTATTTTCAAGTTTAGTTTTTCAATTCAACAAAATATCAAATTGATCAACTTGCAAAAACTCATATCTCAACACCTCTACCAATCCAATCTGTATAACTGATTCCAACAAGCTTGTGGTGTGAATAATAATAACCAAAAAGAAAAAAAAATCACACTAATTATTTCATACTAATAGTTCCAATTAAAGCATTAAGTTTTATTGGCATGACCAACCTAACATGGTAAGACGATGAAGAGCCGTGATTGTAGTTGTTATATGCTTCTTCGCAAAATCCAACTTCTTGATGTCACGACATATTTCCTGAACCATCGTCTCACTCTGCTCAGCTTTGCTTTTTATTTCTCGAATCTTGTACATGAGTTCCTACTCATCAAGAAACAGAAAAGAGAAAACACCCATTCACAACTTATAACCAAGAAGAATAACACATTTATGAAAAACAAACTGTCCTTAATCCACAACTCACCTGCACAGCATGCGTAGCAGCAGCAAGATCTTCCTTTGCTTTCGTTCTCGAACTGCTCTGAATCACATCAAAATGCAATAACCGCAAACATTAGAAATAAGCACAAGCATATATCTTATTTCTAACTCTTAATTATCTATTGTCTCGATTCATAGCACATTTACATGTTACAATCCTTAACCACGCGAATTTACAAGGTTTTTTTTTTTTCCACTTGAAAGCATAAAGCATCTGCCAAACCGCCAAGTTAGTTCAGGACCTGGCAATGCCAAAACAGAAGCATAACCAACAAATGATTAAAACGCAAAAAGATGGTAATTCACAACCTGTTGGCGAACAGCAGCAAGTATTCCAGCATCTACACGACGAATCTCACTGTGTATCTTTTGCATCAGCGGCTCAACTCCAGATAAAGACGCCTCTGCGTATCAATTTATGAATCAATCAAACAATAAATCACTCTCCGCCAATTCAAATAACATCATTTCCCCTAAACTTAACTCATTAATTACTAAAAAAAGCTGAAAAAGAGAGGGAAAAACAACCTGTAGGAAACATCTGGTTGATGTACTCCAATGCACTTGACTTGTCCATTTTTCAAAAAAAAAAAAAAAAAAAACGCCAGATTTCTTCTCGTCACTTAAATTTACCTGAAGAACATAATTGGATTACGAAAATTTTAATAGATCTAGGTTTCTAGGAGTAATTGAGAGATCTGATAGGTGATTAGTGATTTACCGGTAGAAAAATTGTGAGAGGTGAAGAAGTAACGACTTGTCGTGTGGAGGAATGATCTTCTTCTTCTTCCTCTGGATTACTGGAATCTGTATGTCTTCCAGTTTTTCTTCAACGTTCAATTTTTCACAACAAATGGAAAAAAATAGATATTTTTTTAATAAATTGGATAGGTTCAGTCTCGACTATCAAATACTTTTTTTTTTTTTTCAATTACCGTTGAGGTGATAGTTCTCTTCCCTTTCTCAGGCTGAGATCATGACGTCAGGAAGTCACTGTGATCGGTTCAGTTCAAGCCCAACCGAGCCCTATTTGCAGAAACTACGCGACCTTTTATTTAATGGGTAGTTGGCGAATTAGTCCTTATACTATTAAGAAATGTGCTGATACATCCTGTTTATCTTGTAGTGTTCAATTGAGTTATTTTTGCTACAGTTTAGAGGTATTTTTACTTTCTTTCTTTCATGTTCTAGCGGGCGTATTTTACATGTTTTGGGCTTTGAGCTTCATCAGGTTGGGCCCTCTCAGCCCTATTTTCATTTGGGCTTTATTAGGTGCGTTGGTGTTATAGGCTTTCCAACATTTGTCAGTTTAAACAGAATCCTCTGCTTTTCACCTTTTACTTTTTTAAACTGCAACGGACTCAGTGCGCAGTGATAAGATCGTGCACTAACGCTTAGTTGCTTGACTTTTTATTAAACATTATTGTTTATTCTAAAAGTTAGTATAATTTTTCGGATTAATGACTCAATCTCTTATTATCCAATACGGTAATTTTTTTAACATTTATCTCTATATCTCTAAATATATCAATTTTCTTCTCAAATACACAACAAAATTTCTAATATATTCTTCAGACAATATATTAAAATTAAATTATTAAAATTAATCACGTAATTTGTAAATAAAAGTTTTTCATTTATCTAACTTTTGAGAACTTTTTGGGTGGTTTTATTTTTTAAAGAAATTATTATCAACCTCTTTCGAATATCAATAAATCTGATTCAGAAAAAAAAACTTGCATCAATATTTTAATTTCAATTCAAACATAAATTTAATTTACACTTTATGTTTCGAAAAATATTTACCATTTGAAAAAAAAAAACATAGTCTTTGTTTAAAGAAATGTGTTGAATTTTTTTTATCTAAAATATCGATTAAAAACTTAACCTATATTTAAAAATAAAATTAAAAATATACAGATAGATTAAAAAATTATTTTATCATATAAGAACACATCGATCCTTTAACCCTGATTTTCCAAGCAATTTCAATTTTTTTATATATAACTAAATTCTAATAACCCTAAGAAATTGATCCGGTGTTTCGAGAGATTTCTTTTATTTATTAATTTTATGAGTTCATCATTTTATGAATTAATTATTTTAAATATATGAGGGAAAAGATCCTTAAAATTATTGAGAAAAAGATTTAAATTTTAATTAAAGCATAAACTTACTTATTGTTACTAAGCGTAACGTCAAAATAGTTTAACAGACAAATTAGTTGATTTACTTTTTTATTATTATTATTATAATTCACGTACTTAATACACGTCTAATAGAATTTGCCTTAAATTTGAATCCATGACTTTTTGTAAAAGATAGATTACAAGTGCTTTTGTCACTTAATTATTCACTAATTCAAGTTTAACTGATAAAGTAAAGGAAAAGCAAAGCACACCAGAAAGGCAGATCTAAGGAGAGATCACACAAAACGAGTTGGCGGGTAACCTTTCATTATTACAAAAGCAAAACGATTATTATTATTTTTTTAAAAAAAGAACTAAAAATTTATTCCACTATAAAAACCCTTGATGCCCAAACAGGAACACTGACATTCCCTCTTGCCTACTTGTCCCCATCGTTTCCTCTCTGTTTCCCATTTTCAAAAATTTCAAATTCCTCACTCCCGATTTCCAAAAAAAAAAAAAAAAAAACCTGAAAAATTCAAAGTCATTGCAAATTTTCATGGAAGAAAATTCTGTTTCCAAACATCAAGATTCCACGTCGGATTCCCCTGATCATTCTCAGGTAACTCTTATCATTCCTTGCTCTCACTCACTCATTTTTTTTAAAAATTTTAGTTACTGATTTTTATTTTTTTTTTTTTGGTTCAGGTTTGTTCGAGAAAACCGAACCTGAGTTCGCTACAAATACCGGCAAGGTCGTTAGAAACAGAATTCAAGAAAATCGAAATCTCTCAAAGCCCTAGCTCAGCTAAACCAGGCCTGCCGCCGCGGCCGAATTCAGCTAAATTTAAATCGACGGTGAAGAATTTGCTTCCGCAGAGAAGTATAAAAGCGAGAAATTTATCACAAGATGGTGAGAAAACAGTTCTAATTGTTCCTGATGCGCCGCCGTCTGATAGTCCTGCCAAGCCTTCTACTTCTCGGTCGTTTTCGCTTAATAAAGTTCTGTTTCCGTTAAAATCGGCGAATTCTTTGCCTGTTACGCCGTGTGCGAATTCCGATCCTGAGGCCGTGCACGAGAGAAATGTTAATTCTTGTTCTGATGATGTAAGGATTTTTTTTTGTGATAATTTATTTATTTATTTATTTTTGAGAAATTTGCACAGCCTCAGCATGAGGAGCATTTACTTATTCCAATGATGTTAAAAAGTAATTTTAGTTGCTATAGTGGGTCCCACTTACGGCTTCGGGAGTACCCAATAATTTCTCCACAGGAGAGGAATGCATAGTTTATTTGTTACGGTGGTGGTGTTGAATTTGAAAAATGTGGAATATGTGTGTTTTTACACAGAAGGTAGAAGTTCGGCATCATATAAGACGATCGTTGTCTGTTCCGGTGAATATAAAGATAAGAAGTTTAAGACGGACTGATTCAGGTGGAGGTTTGTTTCGTGTGGTTTCGGCAACTCCACGTCCTGTGGTAGCAGATAGTGTGTCCACGAATGATCCCTCTACGACAGAAATTGGTAAATTTTGAATTAATAGAAGTCATGCGTGATCTATGAATGGTTTTGGTTTAACTTGAACTATTGTTGTATTTGTGTATGTTGAATACACTAGCGAGTGAAGATGATGGTGAAGATATTCCTGAAGATGAAGCCGTTTGTAGAATTTGTTTGGTTGAGCTTAGCGAAGGAGGTGATACTTTCAAGATGGAGTGTAGTTGTAAGGGGGAGCTTGCGCTTGCGCATCAGCAATGTGCTGTGAAGTGGTTTAGCATCAAAGGAAACAAGACATGTGATATTTGTAAGCAGGATGTTCGGAATCTGCCTGTAACATTACTAAAGATACATAATCCTCAAGCAGCTGGTAGGAGGTCATTACCTGTACCCCAGCAAAGGGAAGTCGCTCGTTACAGGCAAGTTCAGCTGTTTTCAACATATTAGCTGATTGCACATGTGAACTCTCTTCTTGATTTTGTTTATTTTACTAGAATATTCAAATCTTCACTCTGTTGTTGCCTAGTGCTTTTTGGTTCAGGCAGGATACTGGATAGGATTGGATTTTGGACATATGCTAATGATACTGCTTTCTTTCCTCTAGGATTTCTGATGGTGCCTAATACAATGCAATGACATTGTGGTACTTATTTAGAACGTATATCATGGGGATACTAGCTTAACTCAGTTGATCCCATAGTTCTGATTTTAGGTGCATGAGGTCAAATCAAATTCGTACCTGTCATAAACCAAAAATTATCTTGTGGCTCATAACAATGCTAAAGTTGCAGATGATTATTTCTAGGCTTATAAGAATGCTAAAATTGCACATGATTGGTTTTTGGTCAGGCTAATTTATGGAGTTGCTAATACAGTCATCATCATTTCTCAAATGGTGATGTTAGCTCTCTTCTTGTTTAAAGATTTATTCATGATTTGTTAGGTTCATCTGGCTCATGTCAGGAGTCTTCTTACCAGCTTGTTAATGTTACAAAAGGACATTGTGGTTTGTCAGTTGATGCCAATGAACTGGTGATGGAAACATAAAACTTTGTCCTCATTGGGTGGCAGCACCAAAACGAACCTTAGAGTTGTGCACATTGTTCATTCTATAATTTGATAGGTCCTCACTGACTTCCACTGCATAGTTCTCATTTACCTGAATTAACTTTGATATATTGATCGGTACCTGTTTCATGCTTAACAGGGTTTGGCAGGATGTACCAGTTCTTGTCATGGTCAGCATGCTGGCATATTTTTGCTTTCTGGAGCAACTACTGGTACATATCATCATCAGTTTGCATCTCTATTAGTGAACTGGGGTATCATATTAAATCACAATGTGGCATGCACAAAGCCATTAATTGGGTTGGAATGTTTCAGGCATAAATTTATCAGAAAAGTCATATCATCAGGCTATTGTCAATTATTCATAATAATAATAATAATAAAAAAATCAAAGTATTGTTAGTTGGAAATCATATGAAAAATTAGCAACTAAAAAGAGTCAAAATGTGAAAGGAACTTGTATTGCTATCATCTATACATGTGCCCCCTAGGAGATAGGTTAGATAATTGCATTACCATACCAGTTGATGTATCGATTCCATAGTATCTCTTAGTGTCAAGATAAGTTTAAGTACTGTTTGGTAAAATAAATGACCTAACAAAAGGGCATTATCTTACACGGGTTAGTTTTACATGAATTCTCATTTCTCACCTTAACTTTTTGTATGATGCCTTACTAATAGTTGAATTCAATGTTTAATTTTCATGTACAATTAAACATTTAGGCTCTCCATGTTTCATAATGGCCTTTTGCAATGTGCATATCAATATTCAAATTAATTTAAAAGTAATATTTTGTTATTTAAAAAAATTATATTATGCTTATTGGCAGTTTTTGCAATTTTATTTTATTTTCAATCTTTTCAGGTATCTGACTTGGGCCCTCGTGCTCTTGCCATTTCATTGCCTTTCTCTTGTGTTTTAGGTCTCCTTTCTTCCATGATCGCTTCCACCATGGGTGAGTTTGGCTGTACGTCCTGTTTTTACCTTCAATCTAGTTTGTTCTATATACACCATTTGTATCATACAATCAACTACAAAATCAAACTAAATCTAGAAAATCATATTGTTCTTGTGGTTTCAATTTGTCTGCATGTCATAAACAACATGTCATCTTTAAAGTGCCTTCTTTTAAGACATGGCTTACAAGACCTAGGTTCTCAAGGTTATAAAACATAGCAAACTCATAGTAATAAGACCATTGAAATGCTCATATATCATAGTTGCTTTACTGCATGTTTTTCCCATTGCTGCTGGCAGAATTTTTTTTTATTATATATGGATTAACGTGGTTGAATGACATTAAAATATATGATTGTGGCAGTAAGCAGGAGTTACATATGGGCTTATGCTTCCTTCCAGTTTGCTGTAGTCATCTTGTTCGCTCATATATTTTATACTGTGGTGAGCAAACTAAATTTCTTTCCTGAACTTGTCTATTCTATGCGATATTCCTACTATGTCTAAAAGTCTCATGCTTCATTCTAAACTTACAGCTCAATGTGAACCCTATACTCTCTGTCCTGTTATCCTCATTCACTGGTTTTGGGATTGCGATTAGCACAAATTCTCTTCTTGTGGAGTACCTGAGGTGGAGGGTAAGCAGGCAATTGCAATCTTCCCATCAGCAAAATAACAGAGCTGTTCAGCAAGCACAGCAACTGCAACAACAGTCCACGCAGACACGGCAGCGAGATCATCAACAACCCAGACAACAATCCATAGAAAATTCCAATGTTGGACCCACTGATAGTTCAAGGCAACGAGAAGCTATAATCCAGATTACGTAGTTCACAAAGATATCACAAGGACATTGATTTTCTGTGAAGGTGAAGGAAATAAAACTTTAACTCAGCACTTCAAAATACTGAACTTGTCTTTTTTGCATTATCAAAATTGCTTCTCATAAGGCGTCAAGTCCACTCATCCGTCAAATGTATTTTAAAGTGTCTGTTTGGCCTATCAACCATCTTTAGGAGCATCAGTCCATGTGTGACGCTAGGTCCTCAGGCTTTCCACCTAATAGCTTAAACTTTAAGGTTGGAGCTCTACTGTAACCAGCATTCAGGGTTTCAAGGTACTGCATAATAGTTTCCCGGCGCCTGAATGCCAAATTCTTGGAAATTATATATTGCATCCAAAACAAGGATCTACCCTGGTTTCACTTTTATTTATCATTATTAAATCAGCTAGCATGTGTTTTGGATTTAGTTTTATGTGCTTTTTATAGTCAGTGCAAGTCATGCTTTTTTTTTCTTTTTTTTAATTTGCTTTCCTTGCAGGGCCAGGCATTGCTTTTTTGCTTCAGTCAGGAAATTCCACGGGGGAAAAAAAAGAAAAAGAAAAAAGAAAAAAGAAAAAATAACTTGGAAATTAATGATTTACAGAGATTTATAAGGGCACATAAGAAGGCTTGTTTTTGTTAAAAAAATCTATTTGCCATGAATCCGGTTATCTGAATGGCAAATAGTGAGATTCACTCCAATTTCTTTCATAAAGGCCGCTGGATTCCGAAACTGAAGGAATGTTCTTGAAAAAATCAGTTGATTGTTGTGCTTTGCTGTATTGCTAACGAATGGACCTCATCTCCCTTTGGGAAAAATATGCATTACAGGAACATACTTACTATGTTGTAATGAACTTCATCGTCCAACCATGGTCCTGGATTTTTTTACAGAGGGTCCGAACTCTAGGGTTTTATCTCAAATGCTTATTCTTATGATCTTCTATGTTAAAATTAGAACCAAATAATGTTGTTCCTAATCGAGTTTATTCATTACATCAAGTGCGACCACCCTTCATAGGGGCGTGGCATGATTATATCTTAACAATAGACACAAACCTGTGGAAGAGAAGTTTGTTGGCTTCCTTAGTCATCTTGACAAACCCTGCAAGGCAGAAGAAACTCAAATATGGATGAAAAGTTTTGGCACCTGATATCGATTTAAAAACAGTTCACAGACAAATTCGAAATATTTGCAATAGGCTCCATCTTTTGGCTTCTCTTTACTTTGAAACCTTAATCAGGACCTACGACAAATAGAATAGAATGGAGTAATGGAAACGAATTTAAACTCTATAAAGGTCAAAACCAATCAAAACTGTGAGCCTGGAAAGAATTCCACATGTACACCTTAATATTTATCCCTCGAGCTATCATGTTACTGTGTACTTGAAAACAATAGTGTTACAAGCATTTAACAAACGTTCAGTCACCACCCTCCAACGGTGGGGGACGAAACATGGAGGACAGATATCAAAGGCTGGCTTTTAACTCTTTCTCCAGCAATATCGATTCAACATCTAGTGCTGAAACCTGGGTACTTCATTGGCCTTGGAGTAGCATGTGGATTGACACTAATCATGCCCATTACATCTATCGAAGCACGCTTCTAGGGTTTGGTTTAGTCAGAGCCTCAAGAAGCCTGTACATCCACCGATCTAGCATTCCTGTGTATAAAACAGCGACAGAAGTTTACAGATGGAAGAGAAGAAAATCACACAACTGAAACTATGGATAGAAACAGCTTAGTAGTCTATAGCCTGTCAGTTCCATTCCAAAAGCCCAAATAACTATTGATATCCTGATTACTAAGCTGAGTTTCTGGTGTTTCCATTACAACAAAATAAATGCGTATTGGGTTAAAATAATGCACAAACCTGTTAAAGCAAATGTACCCCCTAAAACTGCACAGAGCCGAGTGATAAAATGAAGAAAGCTACGCCGTTCTTCTTTGATTGTGACAGTGATAGGTGACAAATCATACAAGAAGTAAACAGCTGTAAAACCAAATGAAAACAACAGCAATCAGTGCTAAGAACAAAGCTAAAGAAGGGACAGCTAACTCCTATACATATTCAACCAACCTGGCCACGTCCTATCATGATCCATCATGGGAGAAAAGTACTCAGTAACAGAGAATTGATTAGTTGGCAAAACTTCTTTGGAGATGTACCTGTACTCGGTTGGAACAATCTGCAAGACAGATGACAAATATAAAATGCAGTCATATCTAGAGGTAATACAATCAACTGAAACCCCCAAAATCAATACCAACAATATCTCATTATCATCTAAAATAAAAAACGTTGGAAGAAATATCAGATGTACTCATTTTTCTTCTGGAAACTCACAAGAGTCACAATCATACTAATTCCAAATCTTCCATGGCAATATATCTAATTTCACTATAAGCTCTATTTAGCCAGGGAAAGAAAAGAAATAGATTTCTGCAGGCTAACGATGCTGCTCGCTCTCAAGGACAGGATTGCTCACAGTATGAGATTATTCCTGAATATTCAGCCCTTGCTAGCTGGATTTCCGAGAGAGGAAAAGATTTCTCAACATTCACCACTGAATTTGGTTTAGACAGCATATAAACTGCAGTAAGTCTCATCGGACATCAAAATTACTTCTGAAGAAGAGATCATACAAGCTAAGAAGTAGTCAGTCATCAGAAAGAAAGCCCAAAATTCAAACCTTGATGTAATATTTGAATGTTCCACTTGCTTCATGCAGAATCCGCACTGTCTCATCAAGAGGGTTGTGAATTCCAGGATATTTTGGTCCAAATGATAAGTCATGGATAATATGACTTACATTGACATGCTTAGCTCCGTCAAAAATCTGAATGAAACCAGTAGGATTCCTGATTATACCGTGGATTCAAAGTAACTCAATACAATATATAGAACACAATAAATTTCTAAAACATAATTCAAAAACAGCCACTTAATACAAGACTAATCTAAAGTTTGTGCCCTGTTTAAATTGATCTTACAAACCAGCATGCAACAACTTTCAAAAATAGCATAATAGTAGGAAATAGGAAATTTTTTAAACTCTTAGCATAATAGTTGGCTGGGTACAAAAAATAAGCCAAATGCTTAGTAGGCTATTTTGTTTACAAAAGAAAACAGAAGAAAAAGAAAGAAGGAAAAAGCAGTTCTGACCATTTGAGCAACAAAGATGTTTAACCCATGAACTGAAATATGAAAGTTGCCAGCAACCCTTTGGACATCTAGAACCCCATAAACCTGCAGAAGACGTTATTCAAACTTAGATTTTTCCCACTTTCTGAGGCATAAAATAGCAATTTCATGAATATACTACAAGGGTTGAAAGCAATACCCGACATCCTTCTCCATTTGCCAATGCTTGCTTCACCTTCTTGATCATAGTTTCAGCAGCATCATCAAAGCCATAAGTATGATGTTTTGCAGAGGAATCCTCCTGATGATCTTTATCATGATCTGATTAAAGTTATTTTTTAGGCAGTAGCCACACTAATAAACGTACTGTGCCCATCCCCTCCAGAAAATAATAATAATAAAATTAAACGACCATAATTAAACATAAAACTTGTTAGTAACTCAAGTAGCTTAGTTATTAGGACTGAATCTGATATGTTTGTTCCGAACTTGCAGTTTAAATTTTGTCGATGAAGGGCCCTCTTACAGAAAGCCCAGAGAAGATAACAAGATTTGAAAATAACAAGGTTAATACCGAAGCATATCCTAAAATATCAGTAGGAATTGCTACTTGTAACTGTTAGAAAAAGAAACAACGAGAACAGAAAGAAAGAAAAACTCTCAATATCTCTTAGCTTCAAATTTCCTATAATTCCTTTTAATATTCAAAAATCATGTTTGCCAGATACTGCTCACATATACTGAAGCTACGACTATAATGCTATATAAAGGTCAAAGGAAAACAAAATTATGCCATAACATTAATCCAAAAACAGGATCCCAAAAACATAAATAAATTCCAGCATGCCAGAAAATTGATGTTACCATGGTTCTGAGCTTCATGTTCCTTTTCTACGAGGTCTGACAAATATTCACTGCCAGTGATATGGCCATGAGTGTTTATGCGAAGCTGCAAAAATTCCACCCTGGTTAGAAGTATAAAAAATAGCCGCATCTATCATGCCATTAATGGGTACAGACACACAAGCAAACATGCCTAGTTCATCTTAAAGTCATATTCCAAGTTGCTCATAACAGCTCTATAATGAAGACAAAAATTTCCCACAAATATTTAAAAAGTAAGAAAGAACTTATCTTACCTTCCATATGTTTGTATCAAGATCCACTTCATGCTTGCCCGACATGTCAATTGCATCCACACTCACAACTGCACAGATGGGAAAATGAAAAAAATAAGTTTAGAAAAGCAGGAGCATTGAATTACTATAAAAGATGAAATATGCAGAGATCAGTAAATAAACAACCAGTTGCTTCAACGAAGGAAATGAATTACTAACCATCACAAGGTAAAGAAGGAAATGTTATATTAATGTGAATTGGAAGAGTTTCTCCACGTTTCAAGTCTACAGACATCTGCAAAACACAAACAACACCAGAAAACTTGGATCCTCATGAAATATAGTGTAGACCCATTAGGTTCAGCAAAATCTTATACCATTGGGAGAATGCCATAATTCACCTTTCAAAATTAGATTATAGCCTTGGCTAGGTTATAAGAACTACCCAGCCAAGTTCTTTTCTGTTTGCACTCTACTGTTTGACTGAAAGAAATCTCTTCTTGCCAGGAAACCAGGTCTAAATTAAGAAATACCACTGCAGCTCAACTGAACAAGGCTGGTAATGATAATTTTCTTTTGTAGTACATGTTAAAGATTAGATGTTCCTCAATTTACACAAAGCAAGTTTCTCTCATGATATTGTTCGTAATATGTGGTTGTTTGGGTATGAACTCAACCAGATTAATTATTGGGTATGTTTCTTTGCAATAATTACGATGATAACTACATAAGTTGAGTACTGAACTCAAGTTGTTCACACTTTTTTGAAGGTCTATCTCAGTGCTGTAAATATGATGTAAATAAATTTCTCTACTTGAAAAACAAACAACGAAGATATACAATTGGAGGACCAGGAGGACTCACATCATGCCCAAGAGACAGCCAAACATGCAGAAGGGATGTGAGGATTAAGCACTGACCTGATGGACTGTATATGTAGTAAGATAATACGACAACTCATGGTAGAACAACGTAGCCATTATGACTAGCCCGATGACAGAAACTACAAGAAACAAGAAGAGAGAACCCACATCATCAAACTAACAATCAAAAGACAGTACAAAATCTAAATGCAATAAACACTCCTTTTCATTTCCTAGAAACAAAATTGCATGCAACATTGCAATACATGGTTTCAGCTCAAGAATTTCTCTTACAATATAATCCACCACAGACAAAGCTAACAATAAACCTGAATCTAAACCATCTTTTATCGAAACCCATTTACAAACTCCTCAAGAAAATTCGATGTCTTCCATCAGAAATCATTCGCAATGCCCCAAATCAATCAATCTACATACCCCACTAGAGCCTTAATTAATATCACTAAAAACATTCCTAGCTTAATAATGGAGAAAACAAATAACTTCCTGTTTCATGTTAAAAAAAAAAAAAAGAATACAAAAACGTTAATTTACCAAGAGCCCCAGCTTGTGTTTTTTGCATCAGGTGCTCTTCCGCACGAGGAAACGCATCCAAGCTCTTTATAGCTTGTTTCACTCCCATCTTTTTAGACATTTACAATATCAATCTGTCAGCTGCATAAATCAATGAATCACAAAAAACCCACATCAGAAAACCTTCAAAGCTTGCTTCTTTTCTTGTTAGAATATTGCTAACACCAAACAAAACATAGAATTTAGTGAATTATGAGAAATTGGGGACGCCCAGTCAACGTTTTTATAAACAAAAATACAAAACCCAACAAAGAGAGGGATCAGAAATCAATATGAATGCGAAAGGAGAGAAATTTTGGAAAAAATAAAAATAGAAGCGTGTGTCTGTGATTGCGAAGGAAGCGTACTTGAAGACGGAAGATTCAGAGGATTCTCGGAGAGAGAGAGAAATTCGGGTTTTAACGAGGAGGTCGAGTTCGATGTCGTTTTTGTTGGATGTTTTTCAGATTGGATGGGCTTTGCATCGTAGCTAACGTTCCAATGGACCCCTCTCTCTACATGAATGGAAGACTATGAAGTCTTGCAAGAATAGGCCTTTTTGTTGAGTAAATTATAAATTAGTCCCTCTTTTTTAAGAAACAAATTAATTAATCCCTTTTATTTCGAAACTTAATTAGTTAGTCTTTTTACCGATGTTGATTGTATTTGATTTTAATAATATTTTATTCTAAAAAATGTTTTTTCATCAATTTTTCTCACTATCTATTTTTTTAATAAAACAAGGCATTTTATAAAAAATTAAAAAATCTAAATAATTATTTTTTAAAATATAAGAGATAATTTATTCATTTCTCAAATTTAAAATAAGTAATCAAGAAACATCAGTCAAAAACTAATCATTTGAGATTTTTTTTTAAAGAGTACACATTAGTTGATATATATATATATATAATGTTTTGTTTTTATAATTGAGTAGATTCACTTTTGTAATAACATAAAATCATAATTCACTATTGGAGATATTATTGATTATGAAAATTAAAACCTTCCATTTACATGAACTAATGTGTGTTCTTAGAAGAAATTTTATGATATACAAGGAGTAACTAGTGGCGATTGATAAGTTACTTCATTCCTTATAAATTGAAACTGCCACGTCATAAATTTTTTTATACATGTGGATTTAAAAATAATGACATGGACATGGGCTATATTTTTTTTAAAAAAAGAAACGTGATTTCAGATTTTATTATGGAAAAAACTCAAAAGCAATCTCAAGAGAAAGAAAGAGAATTGGGGTTTTCATCTTTGTTGCAAAAAATCCAATAGCAGATTGAAAGGAAGAGACAACGAAGGAAATTAGGTTTTTTTATTCGATTGCAAAAAAAAAAAAAAAAAAGATTCAAATTTTACTTTCTCTCTTGCAAAAAAACCCAAAAGCAACGACAAATTGATAGCCATCGGAAAACATTGAAAGCGAGCTTTCTCTTGCAAAAACCCGCATTGTTACATTCAACGACAAATTCTTAATTGGTCCCTTTTGTCTTCAAATCGGAGAGGAGAGGAGGGCGAGAGGAAGGGAGAAGAGGGGATAACTTATCCTTTCTTTCTTTTTTCCCAATTACATTTAACACGTCAAACCTACGAAGGGCAAATCCAGTTGGTGTCTTCTAAGAGGGAAAAGGGGGTTTCTTTTGGATTGGAATTCTCGCATTTCTGCTAATCCAGTTGGTGTAAAAGCTTGGTGACTTTGTTCTTGTTATATGTGAATTTTTGCAGGTACGGGTTTAACCTAATACTCGTCCCGCATATGTATTTGATTGTTAGTAAAAAGAAAGAAAGAGTTAATTCTTCCCGCATAACAATTGTTCCAATTTGGTCGATTTTTCCTTTACATCCCAACAATTGGTTTATAGCACTTTGTCCTCGGTTTTTGCTTGATCTTTGAATTTGTAATCCATTGTAAATTAGTGGAGGCATGCTTTGATTTACTTTATTTTGCAATAATATGTTTCCGAGTAAGGCGAGCCGGGGAACTAGATAGCGAGGTATTGTTTTGATATTAGCGAGACCTAGACTAGGATAACTTTTTGTTTCTCTTAAGTTGTCTTTAACTGAAAATCTAGTGATTTGTTTGACCAAATATGAGAAACAAATTTGGTTTGATTAAATGTAAAACTAAACCTTATCTTTATGAAGAATGAGTGTGTTTAATTGTTAATTACCTAGAGTGATTTAAAATAAAAGAGTTTGGAACCAATTTGCAGAATAAAGTACCCCGCTAGGAGAAACAAAAAGTTATCCTAGCCTAGGTCTAGCTAATATCAAAACAATACCTCGCTAGCTAGTTCCCTCGGCTCGCCTTACTCGGAAACATATTATTGCGGAATAAAGTAAATCAAAGCATGCCTTCACTAATTTACAATGGATTACAAATTCAAAGATCAACCAAAAACCGATGACAAAGTGCTATAAACCAATCGTTGGGATGCAAAGGAAAAACCGACTAAGTTGGTGTAACCCCCGTAAAAACCCTTATCCGTAACGCGACATGTATTAGAATAATTCTATATATATGTATATTAAGAGTAAGTATAATTATCATTTCATCATGAGAAATTAATGCTTGAAATATGTGATTTATTTTAAATTAAAGTTATTGTGCTTAAGATTAATGGTTTAATTATTAAAGAAATCAAATATGCAAAATCGGTGTTTTAAGGACTATATTCTACCCGAGTTTTTGGTGAATTATTTGAGGACTTTAGGGTAATTTTTGGGTCAACCTTAAAGAATGAAAGTTTTTCATCTATGTGTTGACTAGATTTGTATAAAATTTTATAATATTTAGACCTATACACTAAGAGTTATACCAATTATAGTGAGGGTTGTTTCGAAATGCATTCTGTTGGAATTTTGAAAGAAGAATCTACCCGAATCTTGTGAGATTTATTTGATGCTATTAGATTGATTTTTGAGAAAAACTTAAAGAATAAAAGTTGTTTTTCTATGTGTGTAATAGCTCTCTATAAAATTTAATAATTTTTGGATACATATAGAAAGAGTTATGCACATTTTAGTATAGATGGGTTAGGAGGAAACACTGCTGGAATTTTGGGGGAAAAGAAATTCTGAATTTTTAAAAATGGAAATTTTCGAATTTTTATGAAAGAAAGTAGTTTTAGTTACTTTAATTAAGTTAATTAATGATTTTAATTAGTCTAAATTTTATATAGACACCTAAGCAAATGCAATAAATGAATTTAATGCCAACTCACCCATTATGGATTCCAAAGCGACTGACTTTCCTCATGACTCACCCATAACCTTTACACCTTATCCCATTAATTTTTAACGCTTGTAGCTGAATGAAAGTAAGTATATATATATATATAGCAAGTGTTAAAATAGGAGAAAAATTTTAGTAACCCGTAGGTACCGTAAATTGAGAGAGAAAAGGCAAGAAAGAAAAGAGAGGAAGAAAAACGTGAGGAGAGAAAGGAAAGGAAAGAAAAAGAGGAAGGAAAAAAGGAAAGAAAAAGAGCTAAGAAAACTATAATCAATCCTAAAAGAGGTAAGTAGGTTTCATTTCTTGGCTGATTAATGTCTTAAATTATTTTTTTTAAGTTATTTTGTTAGTGTTTATTTCATGGGTTGTAATAATTTTCAATGGTTATATGCTTGATGCTTAGGATAAATCTATGTATGGATGCCTTGTTGTGATGATTTATGATGTTTATGATGTTTTGAAAATTTCCAAGTATGTGGTGATGGGTTGGATTAAACTTGGACTAAATTTAAGTGAACTAAAACATGTTTAAAGTTGGCTTGGAATGAACTAATAAATTAGTGTTAATAAAGAGTAAATTCTGTCCGAATTTTAGGGTACATGTTCAAGGATTTTAGGTCGATTTCTGGGTGAAACTTAAAGAATAAAAGTTGTTCATCTATGTTTCAACTAACTCTCTTTAAAATTTCTTGGTCATTGAATTCATTTACGAAGAGTTATACCTGATTTAGTATAAATAGCTCTAGACAAACTACTACTAAGTAAATTGCTCCCTAAGTTTCAAAAATTTATAATTAATTGTGTACTTGGTATTCAGACCTAATTTTTGGATATATTATAAATAAATATGTCTAGTATCTAAAATAAAATGGGTAAGATTTAATTATGTTCTGAAATTATAAAATTATTTACTTGATTAAGAGTTGCCCGGTTATAAACCCTAAAACCAAAAAAATGAGACTTGGACAAAATTAATAGGTTTGGAATAAACTAAATGAGCTTGGACTAAATAAAATGGAATTAAATAGAGTCAATGGACCTAGGATAAAGTTAATGGGCTCGGATTAAAGTAAATGGACTTGGATCTTCTTTTAAATATTAATGAAACTAATGAACAATATTAATGAGCGGAGATTGTGTTCTCGTTATGAGTACCATGATTGGTATGTGAGCGACGGGTGAATCTCGAGTATTGGTTGAACCATGAGTATGGCTTAAGAAAGAAGGGTTGGTACCCGAGTTTAGTTGAATATGATTAAACATGTCATCATGTGCATTGGGGGTGGAATAAGTTGAGAAAAATCATCGAGTCATGAAATGACACGGTTTGGTAACCGAATTAAAAATAAATGGGTATTAGTAGTCCAAGACTCTAGGTCGTGTGCTCGCACTATTAGACGATGGATTCTCGCTAATAGTAGTTACAACGAGGGGTAATTCCGTTGTAGCGAGAAGATGATCCGAGGATCATCCGGATGAAATCAAGTTGTGTGCTTGCACCGTTAGACGATGGATTCCCGCTAACAGTAGTTACAACGAGGGATAATATCGTTGTAGCGAGAAGGTGATCTACGGACCACTCGGATGATAAATAGAGTAGATCGGCTAATACCCGTGGTACCCGAGATTAAAATTCATGAGTATGGTGGAAAGTCAAAACAAGTATTGCATATCACGTGCATCACCCTACTTACCGAGCTTTGGCTCACCTCGTTGTTATTATTATTTTTTTTGTCTTGACGGAAAAGGATAAGTTGGTACGGATGCGGTCGGCTCCTCCTAATCGGCTCATGTGAGGCACTATATATTAGTTTTTATTTTGCCTCGTAAATTTGGGGTATGGAGTTCGTGAGAAATTGAATATTGCTCGTAATATTTTATTAATGTATTTAATTATATGATGTAAATTTTATCTTAAAGAGTTATATACGTAATGTGCTTGTTAAAATTTTAAGAATATCATAAGAGAACTACTTAGAGTTTAGGGTATGTCGAGCATAACGCGCTTCGTTTAGTACTCTACTTAGGTAGTAGAAATATGATCAGGGCGGGGCGTTACGGTTAGAACAATTGTTATGCGGGAAGAATTAACTATTTCTTTCTTTTTACCGACAATCAAATACATATGCGGGACAAAGTATTAGGTTAAACCCGTACTCGCAAAAATTCACATATAACAAGAACAAAGTCACCAAGCTTTTGCACCAATTGGATTAGTAGAAATGCGGGAATTCCAATCCAAAAGAAACCCACTTTCCCTTTTAGAAGGCACCAACTGGATTTGCCCTTCGTAGGTTTGACGTGTTGAATGTAATTGGAAAAGAAGAAATAAATGATAAGTTATCCCCTCTTCTCCCTTCCTCTCGCCCTCCTCTCCTTTCCGATTTGAAGACAAAAGGGACCGATTAAGAATATGTCGTTGAATGTAACAATCTAGGTTTTTTGCAAAAGAGAAAGCTTTGCTTTCAATGTTTTGCGATGGCTATCAATTTGTCGTTGCTTTTGGGTTTTTTTGCAAGAGAGAAAGTAAAATTTGAATCTTTTTTTTTTTTTTTTTTTGCAATCGAATAAAAAAACCTAATTTCCTTGCTTTCTCTTCCTTTCAATCTGCTATTGGATTTTTTGCAACAAAGATGAAAACCCCAATTCTCTTTCTTTCTCTGAGATTGCTTTTGAGTTTTTCCATAATAAAATCCGAAATCACGTTTCTTTTTTTTTCTTTTTTTAAATATAGCCAATGTCCATGTCGTTATTTTTAAATCCACATGTACAAAATTTTTTTATGACGTGACGAGTTTCAGTTTATACGGAATGGAGTAACTTATCACTGCCACTAGTTACTCCCTCGTGTATTATAAAATTTCTCGTGTTCTTAGAACACAAGTTAGAAAAACATTTTTTATAAAATGTTTATAATATTATATAAAAAGAAATCAAATTTAGAAGGGGTTAAAAATATTTATTTATATAATTTATTTTATAAGAAAAAAGGTTTTTAAAAAAAGTTTAAGATTAGAAAGTTAAAAAAAAATTTAAAATGTTTTTACTTTAAAAAAACACATTTAACACCGAAATGTCAAAATAACGTTATTTTGGTATTTTACGTAACGATATTGTTTCGCATAATGAAAATTGAATAATTTGAATCAAATTTACTCAATTTTAATATTTTAAAAATCAAATTACGTGATTAATATTACGAGTATGAAATTATCAAATGACAATAGAATGAAGGTAAATTTATCATTAAATTCATAGAAATTCTTTATTTTTATTGTGTTATACTCCAAAATTCTAATTAATATTCAATTTTTTTTTAAATATAAAGTGAAAAATACATTTTTACCGTCCATTAAGACAAATAATTGGAATTCATTGAGAGGTGTTTGTTTGGCAAAATACCTTTTACAGAGAAAATTGAAAAATCTTATAAAGAAGCCAATCGAAAAGCAACATCTCCTTATGTTTTGATTACCGTCCATTAAGATTTGTTGTTCTCAGGTTGTCGTTAACCAGCAACAAATATGGCAACTGTAACAATAAAGAGATTAGCAACATCTCCTTATGTTTTGATTACTGTTTTTGTCGCTCTTGCTGCTTTCTTCTTCAGCTCCAGATTTCCCTTCAAACCCATCAATTCTTCTCAACAACAGGTCCAGGTCCGCCCTCTTTTTTTTTTTTTTTTTTTGGGTTCAAATTTTATATTAATGGAATTTTTTTGTGGACTTAAATTGATTGAAGTTGAACTGTTAGCTCAAAGAAATGGTTTTCTTGTTCTTTGAAACTCCAAAGCGTTTAACTTTGGTAGTTATTACTTGACCCAAATGGTTGAAAAGCCCAATGCTGATTTCTTGTTAATGTTTTGGAATAAAAAGGATCAGAATTTATGGGTTTATTGCCATTTTGATCTGTTTTTAGCTCAGGTGAAGTGAAAAACCTATTTATTTTAGGTGGAAACCCCAAATTATGAACATTTTTTAGTTGTATACTTTTAATAGCATAATTAAATAACTTATATTGACTTGGTGTTGCTTGCGATTCTAGAGATTGTTAACTGTTGAAGAACTTGCTTTGTACAATGGAACTGATGACGGTTTGCCCATTCTCTTAGGAATCCTTGGGTAATCTTTCTATCCGTGCGTGTGTTTTGCACTAGTGTTTATATGAATCATTAAGCATAATATAGTTCCTTATTTTGATTACTTGTTTTAAATTAGATCCGTGTTTGATGTAACGAAAGGAAAATCTCATTATGGGGTAGGAGGAGGTTACCATCATTTTTCTGGAAGGTTTGTTCTTTTTGATTCTCTTACTAACAGTAATCTCACTATCATTCTATTTTTCCATTAAGTGCCCCTATCTTGCTGTTTCAAACTGCTGGTTTGGCTTACAAGATTCAGGGTACTATAATCTCATTGATGCATCACTTTTAGTCTGATAACATGAAAATTCTTGTGTGCAATTAATCAACTGGCTCTAAATTCTGCCCCATCTCTTTGATGTGAATCTATGTTTAGTTACTGTTGATTGTTCTTCAAATGTAGTAGCTATAACTTCCATAATCGTGGCCGTCATCATCACTATTGTCATCATGTTCACTGCAGAGCACACACATGATGCATGCATTTTCACGTTTTGATGGAGTCAAACCTGGATATCTATTTCTTGTCTACAGCCTGTACTGATCTTCTGCTCATGCAGTTTAACTTCTATCAACATTAAGAGCATTGTATTTAGTTCGGTGAACCTCTATATGCTTATTTATTTCTTTAATTCCCAAGCTCCACAGATGCTTAGAAGTTAGAACACTTAATAGTCTCAGGACTCAAACTTACCAATTCAATTACTCTCATGATTGTTTGGCCAACCGATCTCTATTATACCAATCAGTTGTTCTTTCTCCTTTCTTTGCTTGGTTAAACATGAAGTGAATACGGAGAGCTGATTGGCTTCTTATTCTTGATGAATTTAGAGATGCTTCTCGTGCGTTTGTTTCAGGAAACTTCACAGGTAAATTTAGCCAATTATCATCATTTTTTTTTCCTGGGCTTCCAGCATTATAAAAATGCTTGTTTGTAGGAAAGATAATTTAAGGTCCCTGGTTCTTGTATTTTCACTTTAAAACCCCATGATTTCTCAACTTCCAGCTACCAGCCAACTAATTACAACCTGTCCTGATAAACTTATTCTGTCATTGTTGAAAAAATTCCTATGAATGGGTTCTCACGTCTCCAAGACTGGACACAGATCTTGATTTCCATCATATGCTAAACCCTGTCCCCATAATTTTGTAACTCTTAGCCCATCATGAGCCCAGCAGACTTTCTCCTTCCCTACTAATTGGCCTTTTTCCCTGAAAATTAAATTGCCTTTGCTAGTACATTTATCTTCTTTTCTCATTTTATGCAGGAGATGGACTCACAGACTCATTGCGTGGTTTGTCCAGTACTGAGGTAATTCCCTGCCATGTGCCCTTTCCTTCAGGGTGCGGCATGTTTTGTGTATACACACTGCAAGTCTGTTGGTGCTTTGACCATTTTCTATGTTAAAAATTAACTCGACGTTGTTCTTACGTATCTAAAACATATAGAAAGGTGGTTTGAAGCATACAATTAAAACTTCCTTATTGTTTAAAGTCTTTTTTGTTTTCAACCCTTTTATAATAACATTAAACACCCAATTTCATTTCTATGTGGTACAGATCAATATCTTAAACTTTTCTTTCATGCTCCATGCTAATGTCAGTATGTTGCTAAAAGTTCTTTGTTATATAATTCAATTATTCCTTCATTTGTAGGTGAAGAGTATTGTTGAATGGCGGGAATTCTACTTCAGAAGCTACACGTGAGTTATGCATTGTCCATATTATGGTGTCCTTTGAGCTTAGTCATTAGCTTGGAAGAGTAAAAATTTAAAAAAAAAAAAATGATACTGTGGAGTTCTGAATTTAATAATTTTTTCTTTTCATTCAGGACTAAATAACTCTAATCATCTTTATTCAATTTGAGATTCTCTAAGATTATCTCTAGAACATTGGTGTTATCAGTAAAAGTACAAAGATTCAATGAACAAGTACAACTCGTGATATTGACTGGGTGGTCTCAACTCCTGAATATCAGGTTCGTTGGCAAACTGGTTGGTCGTTATTATGACAGTGAAGGAAATCCTACCAAATCTTTGAAGGGAGTTGAAGCAAAGGCTGCAAGAGGCACCCAGCTTATGGAGAAACAGAAAAAAGAGGAAGCCAAACAGCCCAGTTGCAATTCGAGGTGGAGTCAGGGAGAGGGTGGAGAGGTATATTTTCACTGGAATAGGGGGCGTATCTATAAATCGTTCTTCAGATACTTTTCAGTAGTTTTACTATCAGCTCTGTGCAGGTCTGGTGCGATGATGGCTTTCCAAGGTTAGTGCAGAGGCCGCTGGAAATTGCTTTGACTGGGAAGATGAGCAAGCGATGTGCTTGCTTTAAGGAAGATCAACTAAGCCAGCCAGGATTAGAAGTGTATGAAGGATGCGATTATCTTGCCAAGACATGTCGTGTTTGAACTAGTGACACAATAAGTGTAATCAAAATAACCCTAATTTGTACAAGTTCACTTCATTGGTAGTTTTTTTTTTAAGTCAATAGAAAGAAATATTGTTTCCATTTCTTTGGTACAGCTTTTGATGGTTTTGATTATTGATCAATGGCGCTGTGTGAATCTTCTTAACAGAAGCTTGGGAGCGATCGCCCCACTACAATTTTCTGGGATGAGACAGTTTGGGAATAGAACACATAGCCTTACCTATGTTCAAATAGCTTGGCATGAATCATTTTAGAACAAAAACATAGAATTTTGCAATGAAATATATACAACATTTCAATTTCCTTATTTTATACCAGCCATAATATCGATATCATCAAGCTTTCATTCTGAAGCCATGTGGTAAAACTCAGTTCTATGGAAGGAACATCCAATTGTTTTTTTTTTTTTTTTTGTCCAGAAACAAGGATATCTGGCTAGATAAATCTACTAATTTCATCCACTTTCATAATGTTGTCTGAAGTGGGAAACTATTTGTTTGACAAAAGCACTTCAGTGACCAGTTTCTCCAAATTAATGGACGATGAACCAGTTGGTCCAGTAGCCTCTTCAGCCAACTTTTTCCAGTCCATCGCCTTTGCCCTCATTTTCTTACCCTTCTCTCCTTCCATGAGGTCTCTGACAAGCTTCTCCATTTCTTCCCTCTTTACTTTATTAGGGATCTCCATGCCAACTCCCCAATCATTGCAACTATATCTACAATTCATTTGTTGATCTGCTAAGAAGGGCCAACAAATCATGGGAACTCCCGCAACCAAACTCTCGATAGTCGAATTCCAACCACTGTGAGTTAGAAACCCTCCAACTGATGGATGGTTGAGTACTTCTTCTTGTGGGCACCAACTAGCAATGAAACTACGATTTTCAGTTTCTGCTGCAAACTCCGCTGGCAAAGTTGCAGCATCACCAGTAACCAAATCTGGCCTTATGATCCACAAGAATGGGTGCTTGCTATCAGCTAATCCCATTGCAAACTCAACTAACTGTTCTTCTGTTATGACAATTACACTACCAAAATTCACATAGATCACGGAGTTGGGTTCCTTAGTATCTAGCCATTGGAGACACTCACTCTCTTCTTTCCATAGATTATAACCTATAGACTTCGAATTATCCACTTGAAATTGATTGAGAAGTAACTGGTAAGGGCCAATGGTGTAAACATGGTGAAATATAGAAGAAAGACCATCCAAAACATCTGGCTCTAATCCATCGAAAGTATGAACAACAATCGCAGTAGCCTTAGCAGCACTTTCAACACTTTCTATGGCGAAGTTAAGTATAAAATCATCTGGAATATCTGTTATTTGAGCATATGGAAAATCCTTGAGACAGACATCATTCATACCCGGAATCCAGTTTATAGTTGTATCAAGATAGCTCTCGTCTGTGAGGAAAACATGAGATTGAAGTCAGAGAGTGGCAACCATCGCAACCACATCATTTTGTTGTTATATAACAATTTCAATTGCAAAGTACCTCTGAGTGGAAGGAGGCCTTTCTCCCTGAGTGCTCGGAGTTGCTTATATGCCATTACGCCACATGCAGACATGGTAAAGGAAGTCACCACAGGAACTCCAATTTCTTCCGCAGCTTTGATGGCGAACGGCATGAAACCATCAGAAACAATGCAACTCACCGGAGGAATGTTTGAAGACAAGCTATCGTTGAGCTTGGCAAGAAGATGTTGGAAAGGAGCCAAGAAATTTGTTGCAATGGACTTGCAAAGAGAAGTAGGGTCTGGGGTTGCATCAATGTTTGAAGGAGGGAGACCATCAGGGATGGTTTCGAAGCGGAAGTCGGGCAAACCATCAAAGTCATTAGGGCCTCTTGATTTCAAGAAACGTTTGTGATTGAATTCTGTGTTTACAAATGTTATGAAAAAACCTCTATAATGCAGAAGTTTGGCCAGTTTAAGATTTGCCTTGATGTGGCTTTGAAATGGAATAGGAATGACAACAGCATGAGGGATATCAGCTGGTTTGGATCCCATTGTGTTACCAAGAGACCCTTATGGAACTTTGCTTCTTATTTCATAGATAGCTGAACGATATATAGAGTGGACTTAGCAACATTTATTTTTTTTTAGGTACAGCTAACAAGTCAAACCAAGAAGTCCAATTATGTTGTGTGATGGCTTAGGTCCCATTGTGTTTATGAGCACAAACCTTACGGAACTTATGCTTCTTATTTTACAGATAGCTGGACAGTAGAGTGAGCCGCAGCCACGTCTCTTGGCTACATTAGGCTGCTATGATTTCCTTATCTTATGCTTTCTTCCTTAAAAGTCAGGCAGGTACTTTGATCTTATTTCAACAACTGTTCTGGTAATTTTTCCATTTCTAATCATTTCGTTTTCTTTTCTTTTTTGGCATAAGGCAAACTAACTATCTCTCTATCACGTCACAATCATGCTTTAGTCAAATAAATTTCAGAGTCTTGGCTGTTTGTTGAAAAATAAAACCGGGCCCCAAGTTGGAGGTGTGCCAGTCCAAGTGAGTTGCCATTTTATTGAATTTTTGACTTTTTGATTGCATTGTTACAATATATATATATATATATATATATATATATTAATCAAAATTTTATATTTAATAAATTTTTATTTATTTTTTTTCATAATTTGTATTAAAAAATAATTTATTCTTCTTTATCTTTGAATTCCTAATTTAAAAAATAAAAAAACTTATTAATAAGATGGTGTGAAAAAATAATATCAAAACTTACGTAAAAATAAATAAATAAAATGTTTTTTTTTTAAAATTCAATCAACAATGTATTCTTACCATCTTTATGTTTTAATTAAATTAACATTTTTTAATATCAAATAATTGTAGTCTATATAATTTTCAAGTTCGGATGGAATTTACTTAAGGTGACGGAGAGTATTAGAGTAAAAATATTGTCTCGTTAGTTTTATTTTCTTATTTTATTAGTGATACTAGCATGGAATGTGAATAACTTAAGGAATACTACACTAGTTATGATTATACTACTATTTTACTATCAATATTTAGTTTATATACAAATTACTATTAACATACAAAAAACGGTTCAATGCCGACTACAACAAAAATGACTTATTATCTATCTACATTCATTTCTTCCTAACAAGTCGTTTACTCTTTCTTAGCATTAACTATTATATAGAAAAACGAAGTCATAACTAAAAAGTAAACCAAGTATACCAAGGACTAGAACAACAAGGGTGTGAACAAGATTCATCTTCCAACCACATCCAATGTACACCCATTGCATGGTTCCTTCAGTAGGCAGCTCAAAAGTGAACATCACCATCTTTGCCTTTATTAGCTACACCATAAGAAAGTTGGTGAGTGACAACCTAATAAGTTAACCTATGCTTGTAAACAAAAATGGGTATGTAAATCATTTGCATGCTATTATTAAATCCTTTTCATAATCAATTTGAAAATCTTTTTCTGTCTTTGGACGTGTCCTATATCGTGCAATTTAGGGTTCCTATAATCTACCTAGCAAACTAGACCCGTCTCGCGACGCGCCTTGATAAGCTTCTAGAAGTGCACATTTACACTTGCCCAACCCTTAACCATTTACCATAAAAATATGAAAAACCCTTGAAGCCCTCCTCGTAGAAATGCTCAAAGTCATGAAAATCACATTTCATAAAATATTTCTAATTGCTATTGGAAAACTATGACATAAAAATACATTTTCATGACTTTAAACCGTTTTCAAAAAATTAGGAATGCATATGCATTTTATTGAAAATGCATAGCCATTATTGCTTCATGAAATGCATGCCATGAGTGAGATGCATTTATGCCATGATAATGCATAATTTAACAACATAAAATGTACCATAATCATTACCTTCATAAAATCATACCAAACCATTATCAATAACAACACCATTATACAACATCAAACAATGCAAATTCATAACCATCAACATTATAAGTTCCATACAACATACATATACCAAACACATTAAATGACATCCAAGAGGTTTAATTACACATAAATTATACAAACCAAACCATAAATCCTAAAATTTCTAACTTAGGTCGAATAGTATTCCTAAGCTAAACCAAATATTTTCTTTCAATTTCAATACCAATTTCTCATGTGGTTTCATTCAATTATACTTTACTCGTCAAGAACTAATTTAATTAGGCATTCATCATTCAATTACATGCATAAACTTCAATTTGGGCCTTATTGGGCCTAATCCCTAATTTAAGTGATTTAAGCTAATTTTCCCATTTCTATGTAATTTCTAATTCTAAATCATCTTATTATATTATTCTAAATCTAAATTGATCGATTGAAGTATTAAAAGTTAATTACACTTAAACCTTAATTTATTCTCTATTTGGGTTGAATAGTACTCGACACGTACTTCATTATTTTCGTCTCAATTCATCACCAATTTCTCATAATAAGTTATTCAATTATACATTAATATTAAGAATTAATACACTTAACATTCATAGGTCAAATACGTGCATAAAACCTAATTGGGCCTTAATGGGTCGAAATTGGGCCTAAGCTAAATTAGGTAAAATTCTTCATTTTTTCATGGAATTTTTCACTTTCACTCATTCAATCATACTTATTCAATTACTAATTAACCAATAATTCATGAATTAAGAGAAGGAATCAAAACCCTAAAAATTGGGAATTTGAGCCAAATGCTATCCTAGGAAAATCATTGAATTTTCTTCAAATTTAATGTAATTTTTCATTCTCAAATAAAAATTCACACCTAATTAACATATAATCAAGCCATAGATCATCAATTAAATCAAAGGATCAAAAACCCCTAAATTGCTATTTTGGGTTGAAAGTTTGGTGCTTCTTAACCCTAGAAATGTTTGATTTCTAGACCTCGATTCCAAGCTTAATTGACATGTTTCAACCTTAATTTTGTTTTCCCCAATGTTTCCTTACCAAGAACCCTAACCTTAATTTTTAAAATT